CGGAGGGGGTGGCAGGGTGGGATCAGGGGTGTGATGGGGGTGATTTGGGGGGGTCTTTTGGGTTTTCGGGGTGGGGCTGGGAGGGTGGTGAGGGTGGGGGGTCCCTCGCCATTGGAGGCCGAGCCCCGCCAGCAGCTGCCGAGGGGGCGCCGCGGGACCCCCCTGGATCCCCGCACATCGAGGGCCCGGGCGGCGGCGAGGGCGGCCCGGGGCTCCCCCCGCCATCTCCCGGCTCCTACCTGCGCCTGCCCCGCCATGTTGGCCGGGGGGCCCCGCGGGTCCCGGGGGGGCTCGGGGGGGTCCCGGCGCCTCCCGCCCCCTCACCCGCACGCGCTTCCGGCACAGGCCCCGCCCACAGCGGAAGCGCCGCCATGGCTCAACCGGAAGCGGCGCCCCGGAAGCGGCGCGGTGACCCCGGCACGGCAGGCGGGCCCGGAGCCGGGGTCAAATCCCAACGGGAACGGGAATGGGGACGGGGACGCGGCACGGCCCTTCCCGGGAGGGATTGTCCCGGTGTGCCTCCCCTGAGGCCGTTCCCTCCCGTGCTGTCGCTGTTCCCTGCGAGCGCAGGCCGAGCCCGCCGGGATCCCGCCCGCTCTGATCCCGTTTGGCCTCCAGATTCTCCCGAAATCCCAAATTTAGCGTGGGAACCACCAGGTTTTCCAGCAGGAATGTCGCAGAGCTGGTCCCGGCTCTGGGATTTGCCGCGGCCCTGCCTGAGGCCTGCGCTGCCCGCTCGTCCCTCCCTGCCTGCGCCTCCTCCACGTTTCCCGCTTCTCCTGGATAAATTTCCCGACGATTCTGTGCCTCCCACATGCAGCTTGTCCATGATTCCCTTCCCACAGCCCCGCACAAGCAGTCTCCATCTAATAGTGTTGGTACCTCCTGGAATTCCGTGTGGAATTGCTCTGTGCTTCACATCTGCGCCACCAAAGCCAGAAATCTGGAATGAGTCAAATTCCATCATGTCCTGGGGATCCTCAGGAGCGGCCAGGACTAACTGCCGATCACTGAACGGGCACAGCCAGCCTGGTGTGGTTTAACAGCAATCCCAGAAGCTGGAATTGTGGGGGTTACTGCAGGAGCAGGAATTGCTGTTGGCTGGATGATCCCGAAATCCCCTCCCAGGCCAGGCCAGGATTCCAGGACCCCGTGAGAGGCGTGCAGCGAGAGCAGGACCCCCGGGGCAGAGCTCTGGGGAGAGCTTCCCCCCAGCTCATCCCTCATCCAGGCCCTTTCCTCTCCTCTCCCTGTGTCCGGCCCTGCGTGACCTCCCCGGGGTCACCGCGGTGCCGCCGGGGCCAATGTCCAGCGGGGCCGCCATGAGGCTGTGGCTGCTCGGTGCCGCCGTGGCCGTGGCCGTGGCCGTGGCCGGAGCTGAGCACGGGGCGCCCACGCGCGGGAGAGAGGTCGGTTGTGCGTGGGGAGGGGGGAAAACTGGGAATAACGGGGCTGGGAATGGCGGAGCTCGGCCCCGCGGCCCCTCCCGCTGCTCGGGGCTGTCCCGGTAAATCCCGGGGTAAATCCCGGGGAGCGGCTTTTCCAGCCCCCCCGGCCCTGCGGGGATGGGCTCGGCAGTCCCGGGAGCCGCGGGGGGATCACGGCATTCCCGCTCCTGCCCGCATTCCCTGCTCCGGGAGATGCCGATCCCAGCCTTCCCCCGCAGGGCCGGCGGCGGCCGCACAGACCCTGCTCCGGCTGCTTCTCCGTGCTGAGCGAGGTGAGCGGGAATGCGGGAATGCGGGAATGCCCTGCCCCGGGGATGGGGAGGGGATGGGGAGGGGATGGGGCTCCCACACTCGCCTGTGTCCCGCAGGAGTCGCAGTCCATGCCCTGGAATTCCCGGGAGGAGGATGCGGCTCAGCCGGGCAGGCGGGATCGGAGCGGGACGGGACTGGAGGTACCGGGGCTGCCCGGGAATGGGGTGGGAATGGAGATTGGGGTGGGAAAGGGACGGGATGGGATGGGGTGGGGTCTGATTGGGATGGGATGGGATGGGATGGGATGGGATGGGATGGGATGGGATGGGATGGGATGGGATGGGATGGGATGGGATGGGATGGGATGCGGTGGGATGGGATGGGATGCGGTGGGATGGGATGCGGTGGGATGGGATGCGGTGGGATGGGCTCTCCCTCTCCCCGGCTCCCTGTGACGCCGCGCTCACTCCCGCAGCGCAGAGCCAGGAGGGAGAGCCCGCAGCCGGCCCTGCCCGCCGGACACCCCGGGCGCCTCCCGCTGCCGTGAGCGGTGACAGCGGAGCCCGGCAGGAGTCACCGAGCAGCCCAGAGCGCGGCGGGAGCGGTGCCCGAGCCTGGGAATGCCGCTGCACACCGGGAGCAGCCCCAGCACGGAGCTCAGCCGCCCGCCCCCTGCCCTGCCCGAGCCCCCCGCCCTTCCCACCCCCAAAATGCCTCTGGGGCAGCCGCCCCCGCTTTGCCAAGCCCCCGAATAAAGCCGGCACACCGGAGCGAGCGGGTGCGTCTGGGGGGACACGCGCAGGGAGAGCGACACCGAGAGAGCCACCCCACGCTGGGCTGGGGACACCGGGGACACCGGGGACACCGGGGACACCGCGGGTCACGGCCAGCCCGGGGGGTGTCTGCACAGGGGGACTGCGGGGTGCTGGTCCCGAGGGTCCCTCAGGAACGGCAGTCCAGGGCAATGGGAGGTCCCCCAGAATGCTGAGATCTCCCCATCTCCAGGGATGGGGAGATCTCCCAGGAATGCTGCTCCCAGAGGACGCCAAGCTCCCAGTTCAGGGGAATGGCGGATCCCCAGGAATGGTGGATCCCAGGGATGGGGAGATCCCCCAGGAATGCTGCTCCCACAGGACGCGGAGCTGGTCCTGGGGTCCCACAGGGCTCCCAGTTCAGGGGAATGGCGGATCCTCGGGAATGGCGGATCCTCAGGAATGCTGGATCCCGGGGATGGGGAGATCCCCCAGGAATGCTGCTCCCACAGGACGCGGAGCTGGTCCTGGGGTCCCACAGGGCTCCCAGTTCAGGGGAATGGCAGATCCTCGGGAATGCTGGATCCCAGGGATGGGGAGATCTCCCAGGAATGCTGCTCCCAGAGGATGTGGGGCTGGTCTGGGGGGTCCCACAGGGCTCCCAGTTGAGGGTCCGCAGCTCCGGCCTTGGTGACCCTGGGCCTGGCCCCGCGCAGGTCAGGGCCCGCCCGGGCCGCGGGCACGGGCCGGGATGCGCGACGGGACACGGGACGGGGCGGGCGGCAGCGGTGCTGGGTCAGGGGCGCGCGGGGGTCCCACGGGGGAAGTGGCTCTGGGGGTCAGGGCGGCCCCTCAGGGCGCTGGGGATGGCGGGAGGGAGGTGGCATGGGGCGGCCCTCGGGGGTGACAGCTCGGGGGTCGCTGGGACAGCTGGTTCTGGGGGGTTGAGGGGTCCCCCAGGGAGGGGGTGCTGGGGGAGCCCCCAGGGGTGCTGGGGCAGGGAGTCAGGGGTGTCCCTCTGGAATCTGGGCGTGGGTGACAGCTCGGGAGGATGGGCTGCCCCAGGGATGCCGGTTCGTGGGGGCGAAGGGATCTCCCAGGGACGCTGCTCTGGGAGAGCTGGAGCTGGGGAACCCCCCAGAGGTGCTGCTGGGGTGTCTGCTCAGGGGGTCTCCCTTTGCTCCGTGGCAGGGTGGGGACAGGGGGACATGGGGGTGGCGGCCAGGCTCTGGCAGATCCCTCGGGGCTACCGGGGGGTCCCGAGCGGGTCCCCACTCCCTGACCACACCATGGCCAGGCCCCTGACCCCGAACCCCCGCAGGTGCCGGGCAGCCTCCGGCGGAAGGCGGCGGCGGGCACGGCCCCGTCGGAGCTGCAGGAGCTGCGGAGCCGCACGGAGCGCGCGGAGCGGCGGCTGCTGGCCTGCGAGAACCTGGTCGGGGAGCTGGGCAGCGGCCTGGCCGCCCTCAGCACCCTCCTGCAGGGCTACGGGCAGCTGCAGCAGCGCCTGCTCAACCTGGAGAACCTCCTCAAGAACAGGAACTTCTGGATCCTGCGCCTGCCCCCCGCCTCCGGAGGGGAGATCCCCAAGGTAGCGGCGGCGCTTCCCAGGCATCCTGGGGACTGTGCACGGGCTGGGGGCCGAGCTCCTGCGTGCCCCCACAGCAGGGCTGGACGTGTCCCGAGCCAGGCGTGGTTCCAGGGGGTTCCCTGTGATTCCAGGTGCCGCTCACCTTCGATGACATCTCGGTGTATTTCAACGAGCTGGAGTGGGAGAGGCTGGAGCGCTGGCAGAAGGATCTGTACAGGGCCGTCATGAGGGGCAACTATGAGACCTTGGTGTCCCTGGGTAAGGCCTGGGGGGCTGGAGCTCATGGAATAGCCTGGGTTTGGAAGGCTGTGAGGTGGTGAGGGCCTGGCCCAGGTTGCCCACATCCCTGGCAGTGTCCAAAGCCAGGTTGGATGAGGCTTGGAGCAACCTGGGATAGTGGGAGGTGTCCCTGACTTCCACTAGAGGGAAATGTTCCATCCAAAGCTTTTCCGTCGTTTGGGATTTTTGCTCATGTTCTGCTGGTTAAGATCCTCTCTGCCTCAGCTGCTCCCCAAGCTGTGCTTGAGGGTGGATCTTGCCTTGGGGCCAAGGAAGTGTTTGGAGTAGGGATGAGGTGTTTGTGTCTCCACCAGGACCGGGATAGGGGACAAGGGTCACTGTTGGAATGTGCCGACTAAAGACACAGCCAAATCCTAATCAACCCCCATCCTCTGCCCCACGAGCAGACTACGCCGTGTCCAAGCCCGACATCCTGTCCCAGCTGGAGAGGGATGAAGAGCTCAGTGACAGAGAGGGTCAGGAGTCCCCGTGGACACAGGCTGGGGACGGTCAGGAGCCCCTCTGGGCAGCAGAAGAGAGGGACAAGGCAGACGAGGCTGGAGGAGATGGAAGCCCCGTGGAAGCTGCCCCAGGTGGGTGCCAGGAGGAGGTGGCTGCTCCTGGAGATCTCCCCTTCCTGAGGAAGGAAGGGCTCGCTCCCTGGACTGGAGCACCCCAGAGCGCTGTGAATCTTCATCCCAAGAGGAGTGGTTGTGCTTGGTGGGATGAATCCCGTGGAGAAGAGCAGTCAAAGCCTTGCAGGAGGGTCTGGAGCAGTGGGAGAGGCCTCCTGTAAGACTGGGGCTCCAGAGACATTCCTGCCTGCTGAGGAGGGGCAGGAAACGTGCTGGGAAGTGAGGAACTGGGAGCTGAGCTGGGAGGAGGAGGCTGGAGCTGCTTGCTTGTCCTGGGGGAACAGAGGAGTCTGGGGAGCCTTGGGGCATGGATTTAGAGTGGGAGGGCTGGGCAGAAGGTGGAAAGTGCTGGAAAAGAACAGACAGACCCAGACAGAGCTGGGAGCAGTGGAGATGTGGGAAGAGCCGTGGTCGAGGGCTCTTTCCTGCAGGATTGAAGAGCTGGGAAGATTAAAGGCACCCCAGGAGAAGCTGGGCAGGTGCTGTCCCATGGGAAAAGTCACCTGGAGCCCAGGTGGGAGTTTGGGGAGAGGAAAAGGGACACAGAGGGACATCTCCTTTGGGGCTCATGTTCTGTTACTCGGAGCTTCTCTCCCGTGTGGATCCTGCCATGGGGCCAAGGAGGGAGCTCTGCCACTGGGGTTGGAGGTGTTTGTGTCTCTGCCGGGGCTGGGAGAGGGGACAGGGCTCAATTTGGGAATCTGGCAGGATAAAGGTGCAGTTAAATCCTAACAAAGGCCCTGTTCTGTGCCCTGGGAACAGACGGTGCCGAGTCCAAACCCAGCAGCTGGAGCTGCCTCGAGAGGGATGAAGAGCCCAGCAACGAAAAGGGTCCCGAGCCCTCATGGACACAGCCTGGGGACAGCCAGAAAACCCCACAGATACAGCCTGGGGACAGCCAGAAAACCCCAGAGTCACACAGTGGGAACAGCCCGAAATCCCCACGGACACGGAGTGGGAACAGCCAGAAAACCCCACAGATACAACCTGGGGACAGCCCAAAATCCTCATGGACACGGAGTGGGAACAGCCAGAAAATCCTACAAACACAGAATGGGGACAGCCAGAACCCCCCACAGATACAACCTGGGGACAGCCCAAAATCCTCATGGACACGGAGTGGGAACAGCCAGAAACCCCTACAGACACAGAATGGGGACAGCCCAAAATCCCTATGGACACGGAGTGGGAACAGCCCAAAGTGCCCATGGGCACAGGGTGGGAACAGCTCAAAGTGCCCATGGACACGGAGTGGGAACAGCCAGAAAACCCCACAAATACAGACTGAGGACAGCCAGAACCCCCCACAGATACAGACTGGGGACAGCCCAAAATCCTCATGGACACGGAGTGGGAACAGCCAGAAAACCCCACAGATACAGAGTGGGGACAGCCCAGAGTCCCCTTGGACACGGAGTGGGAACAGCCCAAAGTCCCCAAGAACACAGAATGGGAACAGCCCAAAGTCCCCAAGGACACAGAATGGGAACAGCCCAGAACCCCCATGGACACAGAGTGGGAACAGCCCAAAGTCCCCAAGGATACAGAGTGGGAACAGCCCAGAGTCCCCATGGACACGGAGTGGGAACGGCCCAAAGTCCCCAAGGATACAGAATGGGAACAGCCCCGAACCCCCATGGACACGGAGTGGGAACAGCCCAAAGTCCCCAAGGACACAGAGTGGGAACAGCCCAAAACCCCCACAGACACAGACTGGGAACAGCCCCAAGTCCCCACAGGCAGAGAGTGGGGACAGCCAGACACTGCCTCAGACACAGACTGGGAACAGCCCCAAGTCCCCACAGGCAGAGAGTGGGGACAGCCAGACACTGCCTCAGACACAGACTGGGGACAGTCAGAACCCCCTCCAGACAGGTGTCCCCCACAATCAGAAGCCCCCACAGACACCAGGAGAGATGGAGCAGCAGGAAGAGGCTTCGGGAGAGGATGCCATGCCCTTGGAAGCTGGCCCAGGTGAGTTCCAGGTGTGCCAGGGAGGATGTGCTTCCCCTTCCCCAGCTCTCCAGGGCAGAGGTGCATGGCCCTGGTGCTTGGAGAGGCATTGCCAGGGGGCCTTGGGATGTCACGGGACGTTGGAAGAGGGTCTGAACATGGGATTGCAGCCTGTGGAGGTGGTGGGGTGAGGCTGCTCTGTGAGGTGGTGGCATGTGGCACCTTGGTGTCCTTCCCTCCCAGCCCTCCCTCTGCTTTTGGCCCATGTGTGGCTTCACTGCAGTTCCTCCTGACACCAGAATCGCTGGGGTTGGAAAAGCCCTCTGAGACCATTGGGTCCAACTGTCCCACAGCATTGCCAAGGCCCCATGTCCCCAGATGCCACATCCACACAGCTTTTAAATCCCTGCAGGAGCAGGGACTCCACTGCCTGTTCCTGGGCTGGACAGCCCTTTCCAGAAGGAATTTTCCTGATAGCTGATCTTGAGCTGCAGCTTTCTCCAGCTCTTCCACAGACTCCCAGCAATCCCTGATTCATAATGCTGGAGCAGGGACCTGGGAGGTCTCCATGGGTCTTTCAAATTCCTGTTCCCTGCAAACAGAGCTCCCCATCCTGATGATGAACGTGATGTCCCTGGGGGACAATCAGCTGGGGACGGCGGCAGAGGAGGACGCGGAGATGGAGGAGGACCCGGGAGAGCCTGACACTGGTGAGTCACCCTGTGCTGGGGACATGGGGCCTGGCAGGCGTGTGGGAAGCAGCTTCCAGAGCTGATGGGCTTGAAACAGGGAGGGAAAATGAAGCTTCAGGGGTTCCTTTTATTTTTTTCCTACAGCGTCACGTGGGTTTAGAGGTGGGGTCCCGAGGGCACCCACCTGGGAGCCCTCCAGGGATGGGCACTCCATCCCTGCCCGGGGCCACTGTGCCATGGCTGGACAACCCTTTTGGGGAAGGAATTTTCCCAATATCCAACCTAAACCTTCCCTGGCCCAGCCTGAGGCCATTTCACCTTGCCCTGTCCCTATTCCCTGGCAGCAGAGCCCACCCCTGCCACTGTCCCCTCCTGGCAGGAGCTGTGCAGAGCCACAAGGTCCCCCCTGAGCCTCCTTTTCTCTGGGCTCAGCCCCTTCCCAGCTCCCTCAGCCACTCCTGGGGCTCCAGACTCTTCCCTTTCCTGGACACGCTCCAGCCCCTCAATGTCTTTCATGTCATGAGAAGCCCAGAGCTGCCCCTGGACCTGGAGGTGCCCTGGCAGTGCCAGCACAGGGAGGGCCCTGGTCCTGTGTCACACTGGTGCTGACACCAACATGGTGTCTCTTTGTTCCAGAGGAAGCCTTATCCATGGAAGATGAAACACTGTGTGAAGGGGCTTTTCTTGAGGACATCAAGGTGAAGGAAGAGGAGCCTGAGCTGCTGGCAGAGGAATCCACACCCTCTCCCGATTCAGAGATCCAGAAGTGTCCCAAAAACGAGCTGGTGAAAGCCAAGATCAAGAAGAAGCCGAACCGGTGCGAGGCCAGCAACCTCCTGATGGGCAACTGCCGGCGCGGGTACGTGCGGGAATGGTCCCATCCCTGCACGGAGTGCGGGAAGCGCTTCCGCCTCAAGATCAACCTCATCATCCACCAGCGCAGCCACGCCAAGGAGGGGCCCTACGAGTGCCCCGTGTGCGAGATCGGCTTCAGCACCAAGCGGCACCTGGACCTTCACCGCGGCATCCACGTCAAGGACAGAGCCTTCGGGGCCAAGGTCTGGGGCAACGTCCACCCCGAGCTGCGCATCCGCCCGCGCAGGGACCTGTGCGGCGGCGGCCACGCCGGGGGGACCTGGCTGGGCCAGCCCAAGGAGGAGCCGGACAGAGAGGGCCTGTCTGGCACAGGGATCGTGCAGCCGCCCAACCCCAGGCAGAAGTGCCCCCACTGCAAGAAGTTCCTGGCCTGGTCCACGTCGATGCGGCGGCACCTCCAGACGCACATGCGGGACCGGCCCTACTGCTGCAGCTCCTGCAACAAGTGCTTCACCCGCAGCAATCACCTCCTGCGCCACAAGAAGATCCATGAGAGGGCTCTGGCCGCACTCCAGCGGGAGGCCAAGGCCCAGCCCCCTGCTGCTATCCCGGCGTCCCTGCAGCACCAAGCTCCCGAGGCCGAGAGGAGCCCTTCCCGAGAGAATGGGAGCCCTGAGGCTGCAAGAGCGAGCCTGCCCAATGTGCTGCTGTTGGAGGCAATGCCACTGGGGCTCCCGGACAAGGGCTCCCCACTCCCTGACTGCATCAGGAAAGCTGTGCAGCCCGTGGTCCAGCTGGGAACGAGGGCAGTGGTTTCGGAGATGACAGAGAAATGACAGACCCCAGGACAGATCTGAGCTGTGCGTGTCCCTGGAAGGAAGCTGCTTGTTGGGTTTGCACCTGGTGGGACACCAAGAATGGGAATCTGCTGTGTTTTAGGAGCTTCCCGAGTTGTAGAAAGAATGGGAAGCTTGGTGACCACAACAGAGAGCAAATTGCAGAAGCCTCCAGTGATCCATAATGCTTCACCATTCCACTGACTTGTTCCTGTTGGCTGATACTTGGAATTTTCCCAAGCTGACATTCCTGGGAGATGACCAGGTGAATCCTGGTCATACAGGAGCAGAGCTTTCGCATTCTTCGATGTTGGAGCTGACTCCTTGCATTCGGAAACACAACTGAAGAGGGCAGGGAGAAGGGAATGGAGCTGGCAGCATTCCCATAGAGCCCTTTGCTCCATGGAACAAGCATCCTGACTGAGACACCAGATGGAGAGTGACATCTCTGAGACCCCACCGTGTCCTGGCCACCCCCACCCTGGGGAGGAGATCCACCAACAGCCCCTTCAGCAGGTTGGGAACACTGGAGCTTTGCACTGGAAGATCCATAGGACAAACCAAACCCCAATATTCTGTGCTGGCATATTCCAGGGATCCCGGCAGGTCCGTGAGGAAGGCCACGGCACTCTCAGGACTATCCTGCACAGGTGCAGAGTGATTTTAGGAATACTTGACGGGTCAGCCAGCCCCATGCTGCAGCAGCACCCCAATCCTCGTGGATCCGCCTGCACGGAGCAGCCCCTCAGCTCTAGAGGAAGCTCCCACTCTCCCAACCACAGCTCGTCCCCTTTTGCCCAAAATCCCACCGTAATGAATCCTATGGGAAAACAGTTCTGCAGCTACCTCAGTCAGGGAGAGGGGACCTGCCCGGAGGCAGCCAGTGGAAGCCAGGCCTGGCGCTGCCCCAGTGTCCCCTGGAGCCACCAGAGCAGTGTCCTTGGCCAGAGCCCCACGTGCCTTCCACACGCTGGGTGTGCACAGGGAGAACCTCCTGCCCGGAGCCAGCGCCACACGGACACGGTGGAGCAGCTGTTGGGACTCCTGCATTTAAGTTTTCCAGTTTTTTTTGTTTTGAGTTGTTGGATGTAATTATTTGATATCCTGAGATCTCTGTCCCTCTCTGAGCAGTGAGCACTGGTGGGCTTTTCCCATCTTTCATTCCGAGTCACTCCCAGGGTGTGATGGTGCTGCTGTGGGAAGCTTTGGGAGCTGAGGGAACGCCTGTGCCACATCCAGGTGTGATCCTCAGCCACCTCCTGCTCCATGGGATGGACAGCAGCATCTGAGCTGCTTCATAGGAATACACATGACATCCCACTGCTCCTCTGGGCTGGTGTCTCACACTTCCTGCCCCTGGGATTTCGGTGTGGAGCATTCCCAGCCTGCAGCAGGAGCCAGGCGGGGTGCCAGTGGCAGACACATGACCATGGATCTGGCAGTGAGCCATTGGTTGGTTATCCCTGCCCACACAGAGATGCCAGTGCTCCCCAGTTGATCCCGGGGCATGGCTGAGCTGGTGTGCCAGTGCTGAAGGCCAGCAGAAGGGCAAGCAGCCCCAGCCTGGCACTTCTAAATCTGCTGTAACGAGGAGCAGCATTTCCTGCGACATTTCCGATCCCTTTCTCAGGCTGTGGAATCAATAAAGTATTTGTCTCTATGTCTGGCTGCTTTGGGGGCTGTGCTGGTGCCTGTGGGCACAGAACTGGGATCAGCCAGGACAGCTCTCAGCAGGAGGGTTTTGGGAGTCAGTGCCAGCAGCTCCAGAGCCCGCAGACCACTGGGAGAGTTGTGGACTGCCAGCCAGGAAGGATGAGCGGTGAGGGAAGCAGGGAAGGGCAGGGGATGGAATGGGCCTGGCCACCATGGGTGGGACATGTCCCTCAGCACTGCCAGGGAGTCCCCAAGTCCCCCCCCATTCTCCTACTGAGAATCCTGTGTGACTGCTCCACATTCCCATCACACATTCCCAGCAGGTAGCTCTGCATTCCTCCCCTGATGGCCCCATCCCTGCTGAGCCAGGGATGTCACCCCCCAGGTGCCCCAGAGCACAACAGGAGACCAGTCAGCTCAGTCCTTTATCTGATTCTCTTCCCACCCAGCCCCCACAGCCTCCTCGGGGCTATCAGCTGCCCCCAGGCCACTGACCACTCCCCGCCCCCCTCCCTGCACAGCGGTGGTGTTCAAACAACCCGAGTTCCACCGTGGGATCTGAAAGAATCCAGGGGGCAGCGGCACTGCCGGGTCAGCTCCAGTCACTCACCCTCCTCTGCTGCCAGTCCCATCCCACCCTGGGCCCTTCCCTGGCGAACTCCTCAGCAGGCTCCCTCCTCCTCCTCCTCCTCCTGAGACCCAGGTGGTCCCACAGCATCGTGCACAAACTCCCGGTGCTGCCACAAGTCCCAGCTGCCCGGTGTGTCCCACGCTGAAGAACCACTGTCCCTTCCCTTCTCCAGCCCTCTGGCTACCCATTGTCCTGGCTCAGAGCCTCGCAGGGCTCCAGCTCCGGCTCGTGTCCCGGCAAGCTGCCGGCCGGAGAGGCGGCCACGGCGTGCACCTTCTGGTGGTGGTTCAGCGACTGCCGGTGCCGGAAGCTCTTGGTGCAGCCGTGGCACTGGAAGGGCCGCTGCTGGGTGTGCCGGCGCTGGTGCTCCTCCAGCGACGCTTTCTGCGGGAAGCTCTCGGCGCACTCGATGCAGCGGTAGAGCCGCTCCCCGGCGGCGCTGCCCCGCGCCGCCCGGCCCGGCCACGCGCTGCGCAGCTGCGGCCCGTGGATGCGCTGGTGCTTCTGCAGGTGGTGCTTCTGCACGAAGCCCTTGCCGCAGGCGGGGCAGCGGTACGGCCGCTCGCCGGTGTGGATCCGGTAGTGCTTGTTGAGGTTGGACTTCTCGTTGAAGCTCTTGCCGCAGGCCGGGCACTGGAAGGGCCGCTCGCCCGTGTGCAGGCGCTGGTGCCGCAGCAGCGCGGCGTGGTGGGCCAGGCTCTTCCCGCAGGACGTGCAGATGAAGGAGCCGTTGCTCTTCCTCTCCCGGCTCTGCTGCCGCGCCAGGAGGTTCCGCGTCAGCCGGACGCTCTTCCAGCCCGGCGGCAGCGCCCGGGGATCGTCCTGGGGGCTCTGCTGCTCCCAGCCGGGCTGCGGCGACGCCACCTCGGCCGCGGGGTCTTCTCCCAGCGGCATTCCCTGGGCAAGCACGAACGGCTGCTCCGTGCCCGCGCCCAGCGCGTGCTCCGTGGGGAAGGGCAGGCCCGGGGCAGGGTGGGCCTCCACCGGCACCACCACCGGCTTGAATTCCCCCAGGCAGAATTCCCCCAAGCCCTCTCCGGCCGCCTTCGGCCCGGCCACGCCGTGGCTCTCCCAGGAAACCGGCTGCTCCTGGCCGAGGGGAACCTCCTCGTCCAGCCTGACCGCAGGCACCATCGGCAGTGCCAGGAGCTCGGCTCCGTCCTCCTGCGGCTGCTGCTCTTCCGTCTTGATCACGATCATCTCACCTGTGGAGAGACCACAGTTCATTCCGGGAAGGGAAGGCCTCCCGTGCCTGCAGCTCCAGAGTGGGAGCGGGAGCAGAGGTGAGAGGAACTGGAGAGGGAGCAGGAAGGGATTCCCAGGAAGAGATGGGGTGAAGGGGGTTGTCCGGGCAGCTTGCTGGACCTCAGGGACATCATGGAATCACAGAATTAGTGAGGTTTGCAAAGCCCTTCAAGATCATCAAATCCAATCATCAACCAAGCACTGCCAAGGCCACCACTGTCCCATGTCCCCAACTGCCACATCTACACAGCTTTTAAGTCCTTCCAGGAATGGAGACTTCACCACTGCCATGGGCATGCTGGACTCAATGACACTATGGACTGACAATACAATCCTCACAAAAAAAAACAAACCAGAGGGAATGTGAAGGCAAAGCTGAGGTGCAGAGTCCTCCATCCTGGAAAGAACCCCATCAGGAATGGCAGAGTTTAAGTGTGTGAATCCAGGGAAAAGAATCAAAGCAAAGCCTCCCCAAAGCAGGAGGGAGATCCACCCACAGGTACCCAGCTCCAGAGCCACCCCCACTGAGCCTTGCCCCAGGTTTTCCATTTTCCATCCTTAAGAATGCTGCCCAGTCTGGGCAGGTTGTCAGTGCCCATCCTCAGCCCCCCTTGCTGTCACTCACTGTCACCAAGCTGTCCTGGCACCGCTCCCTTCTCCGGCAGCCTGGGGCTCCCTGGATCCTCCCTGTCCTCGGCTGGTGGCAGCAGTGCAGGTTTGGAACCTGCATCCTCAGACCCTGGGAAGGAGGGAACAATGGGATGAGCTGCTGGCAGTGGGGACCAGCCAAAGCGGGGTCCTGGAATTCCAGGATCTGATCACACAGGCCACTGGCAGCCGAACCAGGCACGGGATTTTGGCTTATCCCAGGAAGTGCCTGATGGACACCCAAGCTCTAAAATTTCAGCCCAAAATTAAAGAGTACTAAAATGTAGGACTCTGCAGCAAATCCCTGCAGGTTGATCCATGTACAGCCCATATCCCAGGAAAAAACAGTGCAGGAACACCAGCTGCAGGACGTGTCACCTGGAATCCCCCCATGTTCCACGTGGGGAAGGTTTGGAAGCTGCATCAGCCCAGGGATGATGATGCTTCTGACATGATCTGAGGGATCCTCACCGAGAGGGACCATGGCCTCGTAATTCCCCTTCCTGGCGATCCCACGGAGCTCCCGGCTGCCCAGGCTCCCCAGCTCCTGCTCCGGCAGAGCGGCCTCCTCACCCTCGCCCGCCGCTGGCACCTGGAAGTACAGGAGGCTCCACCTGGGGGTCCCCACTGAGCCCCTCCCCGAGCCCCGGGGGGCCAGAGCTCCTGTGGATAGAGCCATGCCAGGGGGACATCCCCAGACATCCCAGCAGGGCTCAGCTGCTCCTCCCCAGACCAGGGGCAGATTCCCAGGATCCATCCTGGCAGCCAGGTGAGCAGTGACCCCTCAGGTGGGAGCAGGACAGTGGCACCATCCCACATCACTCCAGTAAGGCCCAACATGGCTGAAACGCTTGGGGTGGTGTTCTGCTCCCTCTCTTCCCTGGGGACAGGGACAAGCACCAGACGAGCTGTGTCCATCTGGCTCCCTGCAGCTCCTGAGAGCCAACAGCACTTCCCATGGGCACATGGTCACCTGGGGCACTTTCCCACTGCTTTGGGCACATCTCTGTCACCTGTGGCCTGTCCCTGTCACCCTGGGCACATCCCTGTGAGCTGGGACACGGCTATCCCTGTCCATCTTTGGCACATTCCCATTAGCTGGCACTTGTCCCCGTTTGTCACCGCTGGCATGTTCCTGTTATCTGGGGCTTGTCCCCGTCACCTACACCCCATCCCCGTCACTGAGGGCACATCCCCGGTCCCTGCGACTCATCCCCATTACCATGGGCCCACTCCCGCCACCATGGGCTCATCCCCATCCCGTTACCCAGAACTTGTCCCTGCCACCGCTGGCATGTCCCCGTCCCCATTCCTCAGAGCTTGTCCTTGTCCCCGTGGGCTCAGCCCGATCCCCATTCCCCGGTGCCCGTTCCGTTCCTCATTCCCTGGAGCTAGCTCCCGTTCCCCGGGTGGCATCCCCGTCCCCGTGGCCCATCCTGTCCCGGTGCGGGCCCGTCCCGGTTCCCTGGGCCCGGACCCCGTCGCGGTTACCTGTGTCCGCTCCCGGGCGGTCCCGCTGCCGGTGCCGGTGCGGTTGCCCCCGCAGCGGCAGCGGCGGAGCTGGCGCTGGATGCGGCGGAGGCGGCGGGAGTTGTCCCTGAGGAGCGCGGCCAGCCGGGCCCCGCCTACAGCCCCGTCCCATCTACAGCCCCATCCCATCTGAAGCCCCATCCCATCCTATCCCATCTACAGTCCCATCCCATCCCATGCCATCCCATCCCATCCCATCCCATCTACAGCCCGACCCCACACTATCCCCATCCCCTCCCAGAATGGGTCAGGCTGGAAGGGACCACAGTGGCTCATCTGGTCTCACCTCCCTGCTCACACAGGGTTATCCCAGAGCACATGGCACAGGATTGTGTCCAGACCATTGTGGAGTGTCTCCAGTGAGGGAGGCTCCACACCCTCTCTGGACAATCTGTTCCAGGGCTCAGTCACTGCACAGGGTGGAAGTTCTTCCTCATGTCCAGGTGGAACTTCCTGGGCATCAGTTTCCTGCCCGTTCCTCTTGTCCTGTTGCCAGGTCCCACAGCGAAGAGCCAAGATCTATCAGTCCCATCCCATCCTGTCTCCATCCCCATCCTGGTTTCCATCACATCCACATCCCATTCTGTCACACCCCACCCCATCCTAATCCCATCCCTACATCCATCCCATTGCCATCCACCCCCATGCCATCCATCCATATCCCCTCTCACCCCCTCTCACCATCCATCCCACCCTACCCTTATTCCATCCTCATCCCATCCATCCCCAACCCCAGTGCCACTCCCAGAGGCTCATCCAGACCCCCAATCCCATCCCACCCCATCTCACACTGGGACTGCAGCCCCCCAGCAGCAAGTGACACCCCCCACCCAGTGTTCCGTTCTCACTCTTCCATCACGCCATCCCACAGATCCCATTCCTGGTGCTGCCCACCCAGCCAGACCTGGCAGGACCCTCCCAGAGCCCCCTCAAGGAATCCATGTGCAGCATCCTGGTTTCTACAGCATCTATTGGCACTCTCCAGAAAAAGGACCCATTCCCAGCATCCCACCCACCCCACAGGGCTTGGGAACAAGGAGCCCCTCCTCACATGGGCTGGGCAGGTGCCCCCCATCCCCACACCAGGGCAGGGGAGACAGAAAATGTCCATGTTCCAGCCTTCATCTGAAGAGGGATAGAGGGGAAAAGATCTGACAGTGGCCTCCGGCCCCCAGGAGGTCACTTCAAAATCCAGCAGCAGCATTGCATCCCTGGGAGTCACCTCAAGGTCTGGTAGCACCATCCTGTTCTTGGGAGATCACCTCAAAGTTCAACAGCAGCATCTTATTCCTGAGAAGACACCTTAAGCCCACCAGCAGCACCATCACATTCTTCACCTCAAGATCAGACAGCAGCCTCCTATCCTAGGGAGGTCAACCTAAAGTCCATCAGCAGCACCCTGTGTCCGGGACGTCACCTCAAAGTCCACCAGCAGCATCGCGGGAGGTCACCTTAAGTCTCTGGGAGGTCACCTCAAATTTCAGCAGCAGCTTCCCACCCCTGGGTGTACACCCTGAGATCCAACGGGAGGACACCTCAAGGTCCCACAGCAGCGTTCCATCCCTGGGGGGCCACAGCCTGGCTTCCCACCCCGTCTCCTGCTGCGGGTGCCGCCATGGGCACCGGGTTGGCGCAGGTGAACGGCCGCTCCTGCCGCCTGTGGATCCTCTGGTGCGCCTTGAGGTGGGAGAACCTCTTGAAGGTCTTCTGGCAGATGCCGCACTGGTGGGGCCGCACGCCCATGTGCATCCAGTGCTGCCGGACAAAGTCCGAGACCCAGGTGAAGCTGCGGTTGCAGCAGGGACACAGGATGAGGTGGTGGCCGGAGTGCCGGCGCTGGTGCACCGTCAGGAAGCCCTGGTTGGAGAAGGTTTCTCGGCACTCAGTGCACGTGTACATCATTTTTCCAGCTGACATCGAGCACCTGGCCGGGCCGGGCTCCTGCCACACTGTGCCACAGTCCCTGCTCGGGGCTTGTGGCTGGGAGGACGGGCACAGGGTCTGGCTGGGACACTCCTCTGGCTTTGAGGCCTGACAGGTCCCGTTGGCTGCCCAGGTTTGGGGCTGGGATGTTGGGCACTGGGATGCCGGGAATGGCCCCTGGCTGGGACAGGCATTTGCATCCAAGGGCTGGCAGGTGCCATTGGGCGCCCAGGACTGGGGCTGGGATGTTGGGCACGGTGTCCTACTGGGACACTCCTCTGGTTTCGAGGCCTGACAGGTCCCGTTGGCTGCCCAGGTTTGGGGCTGGGATGTTGGGCACTGGGATGCCGGGAATGGCCCCTGGCTGGGACAGGCATTTGCATCCAAGGGCTGGCAGGTGCCATTGGGCGCCCAGGACTGGGGCTGGGATGTTGGGCACGGTGTCCTACTGGGACACTCCTCTGGCTTTGAGGCCTGGTATGTCCCGTTAGCTGCCCAGGTTTGGGGATGGGATACTGGGCATGGCACCTGGCTGGGACACACCTCCAGCTCCGAGGGCTGGCACGTCCCATTGGCCGCCCAGGCGCGGAGGTGCCGCCTGATTTTCTTCTTGGACATGAACTTGCGGTCGCAGTGGACGCAAACATAGGGCACCCAGTTGGTGTGGCCACGCTGGTGGATCAGGAGGTTGATCTTCAGCAGGAAGGTCTTCCTGCAGATGGGGCAGGAGTAAAATTCCCGGGCGGAATTTCGCTGCCAGGCCACGGGCCGGCCCTCGCAGGACTCCTTCTCCGGCTCCCCTGGGCTGGGATCTGCCTGTTCTGTGGTTTTGTGGACATCTGGTGTCACCTCCTTTCCTGGTTCTTCAGGAATGTTGGCCACCAGCTCTTGGCCAGTATTCCCTGAATCCTTCACAGCCTCCTCTTCCTGACCCTTGTCCTGTTCCAGACCCTCAGACGGTGGTTTGGGCATTAACGGCTTCTCTGCGGCAACCTCCTCCTGCAGCACCTCCATGGGGATCCCTGCTTCAGCATCTCCTGGGAATTTTTTAGAATCCAAACATCAATTTCCACGTGGTTTTAAGGCATGAACAGCAAAGGGCTTTGCTCCCACCCTCCCTCACTTCCCACCCTGTTCCCAGCCAGCACAAATCCCAGCCCTGCTCTCCTCTTCCAGTTCAGTCTCTGGACTGTGAAAAAGCCAGGAACAGCCACAGCTTATTCCTGTAGACACCCCAGGAGCAGTTTGAAGTGGAAAACATCACCCAGGGGGACAGGGAACTCTGACAACCACCCTGGAGCTTGTCTGGGCAGGCATGCTGATGTCATGCCATATCCCAAACAGTTTCAGGGCTGGTAACAGGATTTGCTTCCCTTTCCTGGAAGCCCCAAGCCTGGAGAGAGGCTCAATAGACCCACCCCAAGCTGCTGGGCCCACCAAGGAGGGCTAAGGGTTCTGTCCCAGTACCTGCTGCAGGGGGAGAAGAGTTCTGACCCACGGCTTCCTGACAGTGCACAGAGAGAGGGCTGGGAGAAGACGGGGTCGGCTGGCTGAGATCCGCCAGGACAGCAGTGGCTTCCAGAGGGACAGGTGCTGTGAGGGCAAGAGCGGTGGTGAAGGTGGGGAAGGAACAGCCAGGCAGGGCTCCAGGACCCCTCACAGCAGCAGCAGCAGCAGGATTAGCCAAGAACTCACGTGTGCTGCAGTTCTCTGGGACCGCTGGGCTCCTGCTTTCCTCCATCAGGTTCCCACTTTCCTCTGCTGGGTTCCCACTTTCCTCTGCCAGGCTTCCGTTTTCCTCTGCTGGGCTCCTGTTTTCCTCTGCTGGGCTCCTGTTTTCCTCTGCTGGGCTCCTGTTCTCCTCTGCTGGGCTCCTGTTCTCCTCTGCCACATCCCAGATTTCCTTTATCAGGTTCCCACTTAGCTCCACTAGGCTCCAGCTTTCCTCCACCAGGTTCTCGCCTTCCTCTATCAAGTTCCCACTTTTCTCTGCCACATTCCTTCTTTCCTCTGGCTCCCTGCAGCCCCTCTCCCTTGTCTCTGTCTCCGGCAGTGCATCATTGCTGGTGCAGTTCTGTCGGGCTGGCTCTGTGGAGGACAAGGACATTTGGATTCACCAGCAGCCAGTGAAAAATCCCATTCCACAGGGTGTCAGGACCCCTCACACCCAGCAGCTGCTGGGGCAGGGGCTTCCAGGCTATCCACATGTCCCAGAAGGTGTTCCCTCACAGTGAACACCCCCCAATCCCTGGGAGTGTCCCAGGCTGGAAAAGGCTTGGAGCAACCGGCACTAGTGCAAGGTGTTCCTGCCCAAAGCTCTTGGAAAGAGAGGAGCTTTAAGATTTCTCTCAACCCAAACCCAGAATTCTGGGATTCTGAGATTCATGGTCCCAGTGAGCAGCCAGAAGCTCGTGGCACAGCAGGAACCCAGTGTCACCCACCTACTGCCAGCTCTGGGGACACCTCTGCTGCCTCTGGCTCGGATTCCGGCGGCGTGCTCAGCTCTTCTCTTTCCAGCTGCAGTAACAGTTCAGGCTTGGACAGGGCACAGTCTGGGCAAGAGCAGGACAGACATCAGGGACGTGATGGGACAGGGACCCTGCACCCACAGCTGGGCAACAGAGCCAGGCCCAACCCAGGAAACTTCATCTCCGACCGGGGCCACGACGGGAGTTATGGATACAGACAGGAAACAGCAGGCAGAGCTGACAGGGGAATATGGAAAGCAGCCTCTGACAGTCCCCTGGGAACAACTGCAAGAAAACCCATCCTTGCTCTGCCCCTGCTACAGAATTCCCTGTTCTCCCAGAAATTCACCTTGCAGATAGGAAAACACCCTGAATGACGGGAAGGGAATTGTGAGGCTCCTGACTGCATGAGGGCAGTGCTGAGGGAACACCTCGAATCCTGGGGGCAATTCTGGGCCCCTCGTGCCAAGGAAGACATTGAGGGGCTGGAGCGTGTCCAGGGAAGGGAACAGACCAGGGGAACAGAGCACCAGCAGCTGGGGGGCTCATCCTGGAGAAAAGGAGGCTCAGGGGGACCTTCTGGCTCTCCACAGCTCCCTGTCAGGAGAGTGCAGCCAGGAGGGAATCAGGACCTGCTCCCAGAGAACAGGACAAGAGGAAACAGCTTCAAGTGGGAAGTTCAAGTTGGATTTTAGGGAAAATTCTCATGGAATGGGGTGTCCCAGGCAGAGAATTTTGGAGGTGACAACCCAAGGAGATGACAACACCAACAAGGTACCTGTTCTCCACGAGGAAAAGACACCAAGCACTTACTACCCTGTCCTGCGTGCCCCTGCCACACTCCAACCGCTGCCAGAGGGGACAGGGAAAAGGGAGGATTATTTGAGAGCTGGAGATTCCAGTGAAAGGCAAAGAGGCAGAGAAATGACCCCAAGAGAGCTCCCTGGGGCTGCCAAACCGGCGCAAACGCAGCCTACACAGGGACACCAGCATCTCGTAGTTGCCTTCCATGACGCTCCGGTACATCTCCTTCTGTCCCTCGTCCAGGCTTGCCCACTCCTGCTGGCTGAACCGCACTGCCACATCCTCGAACAGCACCGGGACCTGCAGCACGGGCTGGGATGGGGGACAGGGCAACTCCCCGCAACAACTCCCAGACCCTCAGACCACCCCCAGCCCTTCAAAAGCTCCAAAATCCCCATACGGAGTCCCTCGTGCTTATTCCCAGTCTCCTAAACCAGCCTGCTCCCAGCAGCCCACTGGATTCATCCCCAGTCTCCTGAAAGCCGCCGCAGCTCCCTCAAACAGCTCCCAGATCCCCAGGAGTCCAACGGATCCATCCCCACAGTTCCCTGAAACCCAGTGCTGCCCCCTGAGGAGCCACTCCAGCGGCTCCCGGCAGCCGGGAATCCACTGGATTCCCATCCCGTCTCCTGGAAGCCACCGCAGCCCCCTCAGGAGCGCCCCCAAACCGCTCCCAGCCCTCCAGAGCCCCACGGGCGATCCCCAGGCTGCCTCCCAGCCACAAACCCTCCTCCAACAGCCCCATAAGCGACCCCCAGGCTGCCCCTCAACATCCCACCAGCCCCTCAGTGCCCCCCCAGTGTCACTCCCAACCTCCAGCAGTGCATCATCGTGACTCCCCCATCCCACTCTCAGCCCTCCTCTCCCCCATCACTCCCCTAAGCGCCCTCAGCCGCACAAGCGACCTCCCCTCGCCCCACTCCGGGGCTCCCCCGGTTCGCCCATCGCGGCGCTCACCCCGTGGAGCCGCAGGGCGGCGAGGGGCCGCTCCCGCAGCGCCGCCTCCGCCCGCTCCATCCGCCGCTCCAGCGCCTCGAGGCGCTCCTGGAGCTCCGCCATGGCCCGCGCCGCTGCGGCCGGGGCGGGCCCGCACGGGACACGCCGCCGGAGGGGCGGCACCGAGCTCCCGGAGGGGTGGGCTGGTTGGATGGATGGGCGGTGGGATGGAGCGGTGGGCTGGGAGGGCGGCACCGAGCTCCCGGAGGGGTGGGCTGGTTGGATGGATGGGTTGGGAAGCGGCTGAGTGGCAGCTCCCGGAGGGTCGGGGTGGGCGGCACGGGGTGCGGCTGCGGGACGGGGGCTCTGCTGGGCTCGGGGTTGTTTGGCTGGTTCATCACTGGCCTGGGTGAAGGGGTCGCTGAGGGATCAAAGCTGGGAGGAGTGGCTGGATCACCCCGAGGGTTGTGTGGCCCTTCAGAGAGATTCCAGCAGGTTGGAGAGATGGGCAGAGAGGAAATTTCTGTAATTCAACAAGGGCAAGCGCAGGTGCTGCAGCTGGGGCGGAACAACCCCAGGTACCTGCACAGGCTGGGGGTGACCTGCTGGAGCAGCTGCGGGGGGAAGGAACTGGGAGTCCTGGGTGACAATGAGCTGTCCTTGGGTCATTTCCCCAGCTGTCACAGAGTGTGCTGGGGAAAAGAGGCCGATGGGATCCTGGGGTGCATTGGGAAGAGCATTCCCAGCAAGTCAGGAAGGAATCCTGCCCCTGTGCCAGCCCTAGAGGCACCTCTGGGGTGCTGTGTCCGGCTCTGGATCCTCAGCACAGCAGCTCCTGGAGCTGAGCAAGGGTCTGGAGCATCTCAGTGCCCAGGAGAGGCTGAGGGAGCTGGGGCTGCTCAGCCTGGAGAGGAGCCCCAGCTGAGAGGGGAACCAGCCCTGGGTGTTCGCTGGGTCTCCCTCAGTGTCCCTGGGTATCCCTGGGCATCCCTGTATGTCCCTGGGTGTCCGTGGGTGTCCCTGTGTGCAGGGAGGTCACAGCAGTCCCAGACTCTGCTCCGGGGACCCAGCGATGGCACCAGAGGAATGGGCAGGGACTGATCCCAGGAATTCCCCCGGTGCAGGAGGCAGAACTTCTGGGCGTTGCCCAGCCCTGAGCAGAGCCCAGAGAGGCTGTGGGATCTCGCTCACCGGGAATATTCCAGAACTGTCAGGTTGTAATCCTGCGTCCTGTGCTCTGGGATGGCCCTGCTGGAGCAGGGCGGTGCCACCAGTGACCCACTGCGGTCCCTTCCATTCAGGAATCCTGGGATTCTGTGTCCCGCGGGGAAGCGCCGCTGCGGTGGAACCCCGAGGGGGGATTCCCGCCACAGCGACCAGCAGTGACTGACAGCTGTCAATCACTGCGGGGGCTGCCGGCCGGCGGGGGCCGCTGTGGCGGCGGCGGAAGCGGAGGAGGAAGAGGAAGCGGCGCTTCTTGGCGGCAAGGAAAGGAAAGGCGGCGGGCGGGGGCCGGTCCGAGCGGGGAGCTCCAGCTGCGGTGCGGCGGGCACGGCGGGGAGCGGGCCGAGGCGAGGCTCTGCCGCCGCGCTTTGCCAGCCGCGGGGCCGCAGCCCGTGGCCGCGCTCCGTCGCTGCCGGCGCGGGGATGGAGCTGGCGGGCGGCGGCTCCATCTCGCTGTGGACGGTGGTGGCGGCCGTGCAGGCGCTGGAGCGCAGCGTGGCCGCACACGCGTCCCGCCTCTTCAGCCTGGAACACCGCGCCGGGAACAGCGAGAAGAAGCACCTGGACTGCGAGAAAATGGTCGGGGAGTTCGGCAGCCAGCTGGAGAGCAAGTGCGCGGCGCTGGGCACCCTCATCCAGGACTACGGGCGGCTCCAGCGGCGCCTGGAGAACATGGAGAACCTGCTGAAGAACAGGAACTTCTGGATCCTGCGGCTGCCCCCCGGGATGGAGGCCCCCAAGGTAACGGATGGGTCTTTAAGGGGCCTGGGAGGGACAGGGACAGCGCAGAGGTTCCTCTGCTCCTCACCTCTCCCGGCAGCCTTCCGCCATGGAAATCATTCCACGGTCTCTGCCAAGGTTTCTTCTGTCGCCTGTCGTGCCGAGGCACGAAGCAGGAACTGATTGCTCCTGTGTATTGTTATATTCAGCTGGTTTTCCCTACCAAAGGATGGGCTGTCACGTTTTTACCAACAGCGGAAAGTTCTTCCCCATTCTGAGGTCCCCAATGGGATCAGGCGCCAGGGGGAAGTAAGAATATTGTGGAATACACAGTTCATCTCCTAAAGTTTAGCAAAGATCCAAAGTGTTACTCTCAGTGTCCAGAGGATGCCCTAAGGCAGGAATTTTCTTTCCCTGACACCTGGGAGCAGGGATAAGTAGGGAGTAGGATTCTCTCTATTCCAGGAGCAGTGCTGAGTGTAATTTTTGGGATTGCAGGCCCCAGCTGTGGCATTGGAAAACGATGCCACCGGCTTTTCCACTCAGGAGTGGGAGAACCTGGAAGAGTGGCAGAGGGAGCTGTGTGGCAAGGTGCTGACAGGGAAGAAGGAAGCCCTGGTCCTGCTGGGTGAGTGTTGCTGTTGCGTCAGTTATCAGCACTTTCTGGTTAGGGAATCTTTCCCAGACGTGGGAAGCAGATTTGTGGGAACACAGCGAGACTGCTGCCTGTGTTTGAGGACTCTCCGTGCTGCCCAGCCATGTGCTGGAGCTGGTTTGGGGAGCACTGCTGGGTGTGTTCCTTCCTGTGGATGCAACACAGGAACGTTCATTCCTTTCTCTGTTCCTTGTCAGACGATGTCATCTCTGAACCTGCCCTCCTGTCCCGGCTCCAGGGAGGAGAAGCGCCCTGCACTGAGGAGGAGGCGGCTCCTGGAGAGATCCCAGCAGAACCAGGTGCAGGCCAGGGGTGAATTAAAGCTTTAATCCTGAGGGTGAGGGTCGTGTGGTGCTGTCACCACACAGAGGCTGGCCATCGCAAGGTGATGGTCCTGGTTTGCTCAGAGGGAACTTCTTGGATCTCAAAAGGAGCAGGCTCAGGGGGAGTAAGAGAGGGTGATAAAAAAGTGTAACAGGTTTGATTTTTAGGATTACAAGTCAGGAAGACTTGTGTCACATCCTCACTTCTTGGCTGTGAGGATGGTGAGACCTTGGCACAGATTGCCCTGTGGCTGGATCCCTGGAAGTGTCCAAGGCCAGGCTGGACAAGGCTTGGAGCAATCTGGGATAGGGGAAGGTGTCCCTGTCCATGGCAGAGGGTGGAACAGGTTTAACTCAAACCCTCCTGGGATTCTGTGATCTGATTCCATGATTTCTGGCATTGGCAGAGGCTCTGCTGTTTGAACTCAATGTGAGCAGCTGGGACAGCAGAGAAGCACAGGAAAACCAAGAGGGAAGAGCAGGGCTGGCTGAACCTGGCCATGGTGAGTGCTGTGGAAAGGCCTGAGCTCAAGGGTGTGGAGGACACTCTGGAACTGGGGGGAACAGGGGGAACCACTTCCCTGCAGGGCAGAGCAGAGCTCCCAGGAGCAGGAATGGAACGTGCTGGAGAGGTTCTGTGTTTCAGCAGGGTGGGTGAGTGGGCACAAACTTCTGAGGCAGCAAGGGAAGAGTCCAGCGGGGCTGTGATAATCAGTAAAGGAGTTTCCTCTTTCCCACTAAAGGAGTTTCCTCTTTTCCTCAGCAGACTGCAGCATTCCAGAGCAGAGCCTTGCTGTCACTGTGAAGCAGGAAGAGGAGGAAGAGCCGTATGCAAAGGAGCAGGGAGCCATGGAGGGTGTGGAGTTCTCTGAGCTTGGTGTGGGTGAGTTCCGAGCGATCCCACAGCATCCCGTGCTGCTGGGGATGTGGGAATCCCTGACATTCCTGCTGTGGGACAGTGTGCTGAGGTGTGGGAGTGAGGGGAGGCACTGGGGAGTGGGCAGGAAGCCTGGGGAGAGGTTTATTTTTGGGAAGGTGAAAGAGCTGGGAGGATGAGGCACTGCAGGTGAGGATTCTGGCACATCTGGAATGAATCCCTTGAAATATGAGGAATCATTAAGTTGAGAACAATTCAGGGCAGGGAGCTTGTTTCTGTCTATTTGGAAAATGCTGATTAAATTTGCAGCAGTAAAGACTTGATTCTTAATAAAAATAACATTAAGCCTGTGAAGTTCTAAATGCTTTCTTTCAATCTTTTTTTTTATTTTTCACATCATTTTAGCTGCTGTAAATAGTAGTTTGTAGTATTGTACCTTATGGATGGAGAGACAGAAGTTGATCTCAAATCAAAAAAAATCCCATGGTGTTAAATTTGTTTATAATTGTTTTTCAATACTATGGTGGAACCTGAGCAAAAGAATGATTATCCATATGTGTATCCAAGATCCAAACAGGCCTGAAGTGTAAAAATGTCAAAAGTTGGGGTGTAAATAAGCTCACAATACAATTCTCACCCAGATCACGTCAATCCTGCAGCCAGCAAAACATTTTCAGTGTTGTGGTCATAATGAGTTGAGTCCAGGAAGAAAAAAAATGTTTGTGGTTTGTTTTGAGTTTTTTTGGTTTCTTTTTATTTCTTGGTGCATTTCACTTGTGTTTTGACAGCAGCTGTTTGTTCTGGAACATGAGTTCAGGGAGGTTGTTGCCCTCCAGAGTCTCTGTGAGGGCTGTCACAAGAGTGGTAGAATATTGCAATTTATAGAGAAATTTAGACCCAAATATGGAGGGTGGAGAGCAGAGAACTTGAAAATAAACAGAATTAACAAATCAGAACACCTAAATAATAATTACCTCATTATTGTTTAGATCACACAGAAATCAGTTTCCCATGGAAAAGTTTATGCTTTCTGGTTCAGCATAAAATTGGGGCTTTCAGTCAAAATGCTCAGTTGTGAAAAGCATTTTCAGCTTGCTCTTATCCAAGAATCCATGGGTTCTGTGGACTGTCAGATGATTTGAATGGAGTTTTTCTCTCCTGAGGAAATCCATGAAATCAACAGTTAATCTCTCATAAAAATGTCATGGAGACATCAAACCTCTTGACTCAATGGTCATGACAATGGAACTGTTGGGGTTCCTGCTGCATTTCATCTCCTTGTGGATTTAATTGTTGGAGACAGAAACCAACTTCCAGTCACAATGTGCTTGGTCAGATCTCACTCAGGAACAAATGAGTTTAGAACTCTCTCTAAAATTTTTGTTGATTTGCTGCTTTAGTACAGAAAGAAGGAAAATGACACTCTGTGTTTTGGTCCAGTTAGAACTTGGATTAAAACATTTTATAGCTTCATTTTTTAAAATATTCTTTGTGTCCTAAGTTGCAGGATAGTATTGAGGCAAAGTCTTTCTGCTGGCAGAGGGCTGGGTTAGGTGGGATATTGGGAAGGAATTCCTGGCTGAGGGTGGGCAGGCCCTGGCAGAGATATCCAGAGAAGCTGTGGCTGCCCCTGGATCCCTGGAAGTATTCAAGGAAAAGTTGGACAGGGTTTGGAGCAGGCTGGGATGGTAGAAGGTGTCCCTGCCCATGGCAGGGAGTGGCACTGGATGAGCTTTAAGGTCCCACCCAAAGCATTCCAGGATTCCATAAGAGCAGGATGTGTTCTGAGATAAAGAGGGAAAGTTGTGGCCCTGTGAAGCAGTGGAGGGACAATTGTGATTCCCTTGTGACCAGAATATCCTGAGTTCTGTTTGGGATCATTTCAGCAGCACTGCTGGATTATTGTACAAACAACCTGAGGTGTCCTTTCTGGACTGTTTCTGTATTTTATGTGCTCCATGTTTCATCACTTTTCAAAGCTGCCTTTGATATCAGAGGTGACACAGTATTTTAATCAGTCACAATTTCTCTGTTCCAGCCCAGCTCTCCTGAATTTCAGAGATAAATACATGCATTTGTAGCAAATCTCTGAGCTATTTTGGGATTTGTGTTGTTTGAATTGCAAAATAGAATCCTGAATTCAAGACAAAATGTGAAGTGACACGGAAAGGGACACTTCACTGCTGTGAGGAGACTCTGTTCCCTCATGGCTCTGAGAGGATCCTCAATCCCTCACAGATCTGAGAGGATCCCCAAGATCCTCACCGCTTGGATGGGACCCTGATCCCTTATGGCTTTGAGAGAATTCCTGATCCCTCATGGCTCTGAGGACCCTGTCCCCTCGTGATTCTGGGTGAAACCCCAGTCCCTCACAGCTTTGAGGGGGGATCCTGTTCCCTCATGGCTCTGGACTGAACCCCAGTCCCTCACAGCTTTGAGGGGGGATCATGTTCGCTTATGGCTCCAGATGGACCTTGATCCCTCACAGTTCTGAGGGGAATCCTGTTCCCTTGTGGCTCTGGGTGAACCCTGTTCCCTCATGGCTCAGGGTGGACCCCAATCCCTCATGGCTCTGGGCTGAACCCCAATCCCTCACTGCTCTGAGGGGGATCCTTTTCCCTCATGGCTGTGGGTGAGCCCTGTTCCCTCATGGCTCAGGGTGGACCTCAATCTCTCACAGCTCTGAGGAGGCTCCTGTTCCCTCATGGCTCCAGATGAACCCCAGTCCCTCACAGATCTGAGGATCGTGTTCCCTCATGGCTCCAGGTGGACCTGAATCCCTCACTGCTCTGAGGGGGGATCCTGTTCCCTCATGGCTCTGAGAGGATCCCTGATCCCTCATGGCTCTGAGGACCCTATCCCCTCATGATTCTGGGTGAAACCCCAATCTCTCACAGCTCTGAGGAGGATCCTGTTCCCTCATGGTTCCAGATGGACCCCATTGCCTCACAGATCTGAGCATCCTGTTCCCTCATGGTTCTGGGTAGAACCGTGATTCCTCACGGCTCTGAGGGGGACCTGGGTGGACTCTGATCTCTCATGTCTCTGATGGGGATCCTGTTCCCTCATGGCTCTGGGTGGATCCCAATCCCTCACAGCTCTGAGGGGGATCCTGTTCCCTCATGCTCTGGGTGGACCTGAATCCCTCACGGCTTTGAGGGCGGATCCCGTCCCCTTATGGCTCCAGATGGACCTTGATCCCTCACAGTTCTGAGGGGAATCCTGTTCCCTTGTGGCTCTGGGTGAACCCTGTTCCCTCATGGCTCAGGGTGGACCCCAATCCCTCATGGCTCTGGGCTGAACCCCAATCCCTCACTGCTCTGAGGGGGATCCTTTTGCCTCATGGCTGTGGGTGAGCCCTGTTCCCTCATGGCTCAGGGTGGACCCCAGTCCCTCATGGCTCTGAGGCAGGATCCCGTTCCCTCATGGAGTGCTGTGGACGAGGCACACACATGGCCAGGATGCAGTAAGGTTGGCTGGGGTCACAGTTGGTGGCAAAGGAGCCCCATGGTGTCCCCCGTCCATTCCTCAGCCGCCATTCCCCGCAGGGCCGGACGCCGCTGGACACAAGGCCCAGGCCCCGGCGGAGAGCGGGAACCGGCCGGGATCCCGGAGCTGCCAGGACCGGGATGTGAGAGGGAATCCCACAGAGACCGGCTCTGGTGAGTGGTGTCCTGACACCAGTGGTGGGAGAGGGATGTGGGACACCCAGCACCTGCCAGGATCTGGGCACAGCCGGGGTGTGGGTGGTGTTTTGGCCTGGAGAAAAGGAGGCTCAGGGGGGACCTTGTGGCTCTGCACAGCTCCTGCCAGGAGGGGACAGCCGGGGGGGTCGGGATCTGCTCCAGGGAACAGGGACAGGAGGAGAGGGAACGGCCTCAGGCTGGGCCAGGGGAGTGCAGTTTGGGGGAATGGTTGGACTCGATGACCTTAAAGGACTTTCCCAACCTCCACAATTCTATGATCAGCATTTCTCCAAGGCACTTGCTGTGCTGAGTTTGGTCTTCCAACTGCTGCTGTCAGGCATTCCATCCCCACCAGCCTTTCCAGGACCTTCCATCACACCCTTCTTTTCCCTCTCCTGGGAAATCCTCCAGTCCCTTGGCCAGGTCTGCACTGTAAAGGTGCAGAGCAGTGGCCCGTCTGCTTTTCTTTACTTACTCTACAGACTTTTGTTTTCTTTTTTCTTTTTTCATTACTTGAATGAATTTCTCTAAGAGCTCTGTTCTCATGAGTGTTTCTCTGATGGGTGAGAGGTGGTGTGTGACTGAGAGGGATTGAAAAGGAACGGCAGAACTCTGGCAGCACCAAGAGAGAAATGAAACTCAAGGACGAGAATTCAAGTGGCTCTGGCCTCTCCTGGGGCCATGGAGAGCGTGTTTTCACTTGCATGAAAATTTTGTGCATTTCTCAGGCTCAAACATCTGCTGAGGGTTTTGTAACCAACATTTCAGGTCTGTTCAAGAGGCCTTGGTCAGCAGGAACTAGAACTGGAATGTGAGCCAGAGCAGAGCAGATCTGCCTGGGCTGGGCTGACAATTGGAATTAATTTTGCATGGTGTTAAAATAACCCTGGTTCCTGTTAACAGAAGACAGCATAATCCAGATTAAGCAAGAGGAAGAGTTGTGCACTGCAGATCGGAAGGAGGAGGCTGCAGAAGCTCCTGGAGAGCCCTGCCCAGGTGAGTAACTGCATACCTCAGAGGGAAAATGAAACAGAGGGATTAAATTCCAGGTTGTGTGATTAAATTCCCCACCTCTGCTGATGTATTCCAAATCTTTAAGAAGTTCTGAGCAGACTTGCTAGCAGATCCCACAGGTGAGGGCTGGTGTTGCCCCTTTCCCTTCTCATGGACATTTTGGAGTTTGTGGCTGCATGGCTGGTTTTTGTCCAAGTGTGGATCTCCCTAAATTCCTTCAGGTTGCCTTTTCCCTCCTCCTTTCCTTTCTGGGGTTTTCCTGAGTAAAGAGGAGCACACAGACTCCTCTGAAAGGCTGCAGAACCCAGGGCCCTGCTCTTTGCCTGCTCACTGGGAACCTCTTTGTTTTACAAATCAGCTGCTCTGCTTTGCAGGTTTTCCTCACTCTTTACAAAGGTAGTGGTGCTGCCTGTTGGCTGCACTAGAACTGTACCTGGCTTCCTGTGTTTGTAGCCAGCTGGGATTTTTAGACCTTTCCAGAGGATCCCTTAAGAAACTGGGATTAGGGGAGCTTGGCTTGGGGTAACAACCTCCAAAGAATGCCCAGACCAGAGCAGGTTTTCAGCCTTGTGAAACCCTGAGTTTAGGCAGGTTATGATACACTTCTCCTGGACTTCCTCCCTTGGCAGAGCAAGGATTTTACAAGCCTGAGGCATCCAGTCAGACCAGGAAAGGCAGCGAGGTGGATGCCAGGGAGCTGCCAGGCACAGAGGGTGAGGACCTCCAGAGAGATCCTGCCACAGGTGAGGATCTGCCAAAAACTCCACTGCAGGAATTACCCCTTAATGGCTCTTCCTGTTGTGCCTTCCCTGCTGCTTTGTTACTGTTGTGCATTCCCAAATCATCCAGGCTTTGTGTCTTCCCCCGGGTGTTTGTCAGTTGTGTAAATTCTCCCCAATGAACAGGATTTCAGACTTATGCAAGGGATGTTTCATCGTGGATTAAACAAGAGGAGGAGCCACCCTGCTCTGAGCAACAGGACTTGCAGAAAGAGGAAATCTCTGCAGATCCAAGTACAGGTCAGTATTGGATTTCAGCTGGGATTTTGGGGACAGCAAATCCAGTTTACAGTATTTTTAATACTATATGAAATGTCACAACCTTACAGTGTTAACCATGAGAGAACTGGGACCAACCTCAGTTTGCTGGTTAATATTTGGTCACAAAAATGTTGAGTTTTTTCAGCTGAAGAGACTCCTTCCCTCTTGAGCCAGCTAAAAGCTGTCAGAGGCACTGGCTTGGGCTTGTGTTGAGGCAAGCCCAGAGCTGCATGGATCAAGTTTGTGCTGCTTTTATCTGGATAAAACCCTGGCTCAGGGCTGGGCCCACAGAGTGCTGGGCAAGGGAGTGACATCATCTGGTGGCCAGTCACCAGTGGTGTCCCCAGGGCTGGGGACATACTGAGGCCACTGTGTTTGATGTCTTTATCAGCAATGTGGATGAGGGGATGGAGGGCACCCTCAGTCCTTTTTATGGCCAGGATTCCCTGCCCTGAAGACAAGTTTCTGACTTCCCATGCTGTCAGTTCTTCCAGGCCTTTCTGGAAATGGTTTGGAGGCTTTGGGGAATTTTGGTGGTCTTGATCCCCCCCCCCCCCCCCCCCCAATAATTCATTCCCACTTCTTGACCTCGTTCCTGCCTTTGCTCTATGTTGTGCTTGTCTCCAGGAGCTACAACAAGGATGTTGTCCCAGAAATTGCTGCCATGTCTCCACATGGCACCCCCATTCTTCAGCCAAATCTTGTTCTTTCTCATGGCTCCATGGCCATCCAGTTATCAGTGTTTGGGACACACTTTCCTTTATTTTCTGGGAATTGGGAGCTCTGTGGGTCTCAATTTGGACTTCAGTTTATAGGGTCTCAGGAGAGTGGGCTTCAATCAGTGATTTTCCATCTTGGCTGCAATTCCAGTCAGTGACTTTCTTTGAAAGTTCCATAACAAAAATGTGTACTTCACTTGGGTTGTTATTCAGGCAAGACAAATAAGTTCTGAGGCTGTTCACTAAAAAACAGGTGCTTGTTAGACAGCACGAGTTCCTGGGAGCAGAGAGTCCTTCTGATAAGCTCAGGAGGGGAGGTTTAGGTTGGATATCAGGAAAAGATTCTTCCCCCAGAGGGTGGTTGGGCACCAAACAGGCTCCCCAGGAAATGGGCACAGCCCCAAGGCTGCCAGAGCTCAGGGAGTGTTTGGACAACACTCTCAGGCACGGGGTGGGATTGTTGGGGTGTCCATGCAGGGCCAGGGGTTGGACTCCATCCTTGTGGGTGTCTCCCAGCTCAGGAGATCCCATAGTTCTGTGACTTGCTGAGCTAGCTCAGGGCCCTGCTTGGACTCTGCTCCTGGAGATGCTCAGGAGAGTGTCTGGAGAGCAGCTGGCAACACTGAGGTGGGACAGTGTCTGCTCTGTTATCTGAGTGGGGGGCTGAATTTGAGACTGCAGCCGTCATTTTTTATGTAGAATTTAAAAAATACAGTTGAAAAAAGTCCTTCTATTTTCCTGGAAATTTTGTTTCAGTGGATGCTGGTACTTTGTTCCTCCCTCAGAAATAAAGATGTGGCTTTGGGCTGGGAAGGACATTCCTAAGGGGACTCGTGAATTTAAAATCTCTGAAATCTCTGTTTCAGATGAAAATTTGAAGAGGAACCATCCAGCAAATTGCTTGGAGAGCAAGACCTGTGACTTAGAGGTACCAGGAAGGCCGGGAGAGTTGTTTCCCAAAGATCCCAACCATGGAGTGACATGGGACAGTCAGTGGAATTCAGAAATGATGGAAACGGCCACCATGGGGAATGGGAACAGCCTTGGAAGTGATGCTCAGTACGATTTCTTTAGTGCCCAGGAAAAAAGCCTGGAAAAGAGGCCCTGTGTGTACAAGTGTGAGAGAAACTGCCCACAGCAGGACCAGCCCCAGCAGGCACTGCAGGGAGAAGGGGACATGTTTCCAGGCCCCACGTATGAGAGGATGTTCCCTCTGCTGCACCCACACCCAGGAGAGGTGGGAATGGGCCTGGGAGAGAAGGGAATGGGCCCTGGAGACAAGGGAATGGGTCCTGGAGACAAGGGAATGGGCCCTGGAGCTGCTCCCACCTCCTGTGAGGGGCCAGGGCCCCACTCCCAGTGTGGAGAGACTCCCCCAGGCACAGGCAGACCCCGTGGGCAGGACAGCCTGGGCACAGAGGAAGCTGCTGAAAATGAGGAGAGCTTCCCCACGGACACATCAGCATCCAGCCCCTGCTGGGAGCCAGCCCTGGCCCGGGGCAGCCCTGCCCAGCAGCAGGGCCAGGGCAGGGGCAAATCCTACATTTGCAGCGACTGTGGGAAGAACTTTGTTTGCCATTCGTGGCTCGTTAGGCACCAGACAAGTCACACAGGAGAGAGGCCCTACAAGTGCTCCAAGTGTGACAAAACCTACAGGAGGAAGGATTACCTCCTGAACCACCAGCGCCGGCACACGGGAGAGAGGCTTTTCCAGTGTCCTCTCTGCAGCAAGAGGTTTGTGCTCAAGAGGAGCCTGCTGAAGCATCAGGAAGGGCACATGCAGGACACCCACGTGCCTCTGGTCAGCTGGCCCTGCAGAGACATCAGGGGCTCCGTGATGCATTCCATCTAGGACATCCCCCACACCCCCCTGGTGGCTCCCCCCAGCTCTGTGCCAGACCCTGATGGCAGGAGGGGGCTGTGGTGCAGCCATCCCGAGCTCCTCCCAGGAAAAGAGAGCTGGCTGGGGGTTATTTTGTGTTAGACAGCGTTCACCAGTGCCTGTGGGTATGGGGAGGTGGAGTTTGGAGGTACTGCTGGCTGTGAGTCCCTGTGGGAGAGAAACCATGTGGACATGGAACAATTTGTGATGTGTGTTGCAATGAAGAGCTGTCTGAATAGAGAGAAATTATCCAAAATGTATCCAAAATGTTATCCCAGGAATCTGGAGTCCTTGGACTGGGCTGGGGACAAGTGAGTTAAAGGTATTAATTGTCCACTAAAGGAGTGAAACGTGTCAGGAAACACACACACTTGGGTGAGGTGCTTTGGGATAGGAAATATTGCCTCTTTCTTCTGTGGCAAACAGAAAGAAGGCTGCAGAGCCTGGGAGGCAGCTTATTCGCACTCTTAAATCCTGGGACTCCTCGCTGCTGAACCCCAAGGGAGAGTTCCTGAAGGGTGAGATCCTTCCTGGGAGTTGTGAGATGGCCAGGGAGCCTGGAATATGGTTTTCATTCCTCACAGCCTTAAAGTTGTGTTGCATTTCTTTTCCCACATTATTCACAGACTTCTGTGTTTGCTCAGTTTCCAAATCCTGTGAAAGCAGAACATGGAGACGTTGCAGAAACCTGGGAAGCACAGAGTTAATGAGCTGCTGTGTCCCAAGCACTGATAACAGGATCTGCTGGAGAGGAGGCTGTGTGGAGGTAGGGCAGCTCTGCTCCTCCAGCTCTGTGTGCACACTCCCAGGAGGAAAGAAGCTCCCAAGGTTTGTAGATGCCCATGGTCAAAAAGGAATGACAGGTGTCAGAAGGGTCCAGAAAAGCTCACAAAAAGTTCTAACAGCAAATTCCACTCTCAGCATGGGAATTGGTATTTTTGCCCTTATCTTCTGGTAGGAAGAGAAATAAAAAGGAAAAAGAAAAGAGGGAAGAGAGACAAAAGGGAGGACATCAGTCCTGGCTCCAGCATCAATCCAGCTGTGCTCAGGATCCCACAGGTGCCCTGTGAGCCCTGGATCACCCTTTTACAGCCACATTTTCCACACCCTGGGGCTACTTTTTTTCACTTTTGATGCAAATAAGTCAGCCAACACAGTCCGTGCCTCTGGATCCTCTTAGAAATTGATGAGGGGCTCTGGTGGTTTTGATCCCTCCTGATTGATCAGCCTTTGTTGGACACCCCATGCCCTGTGCCATGCATGCTGTGCTTATCTCCAGGAGGCAGAATAAGGGTGTTTGTCCCAAAAAAGAGCTGTCCTTGCTCTGTGTACTCCCCTTACACTGTGGGAGACAGTGTCTCACACAACAGTCCTTGGCTGGCTCCACAGCTGAGACACAGCCCTTTATCTCCTGGCCTTCTACAGAATCCAAAGTGATAAACCTGGGCCTGAAAAATGACCAGCTTGGGACTCCACTTGCTTCAGCAGAATGCAGGGAAAGAGAATTATTTGAGAATTTAGGTAGGAAAAAGCATGGCAGAGAGAAATAAGACCTCGGAGAGGAAATGAAAAGGAGGAAAAGAGCTGCATTATTGCTGTCAGTGAAAACTGAGCAACTGCAGGAAGAGCTAAGGAAGAAAAGAAGGAAGACAAGCCCAAAATTTGGGCTGAAAATTTCGGAGGGTCCCCCTCTGCAGCCACACTTTATTCCAGTTTGTCCCTTGTTACCCAGGTTTGGGACACAGCAGCACTTTTAACTCCTTGGTGCCCGGGATGGTGCACCCCAGAGCACTGCCCACACGGTGTTGGGACCCACAGCTCTTACTGGAGCCAACTCAACTGCAATTCCAAAAATTCCCATTCCTGCCACGGCAGGAATTTGCCATTGTGGTACCTGAATTTTAAATCCGAGTGCAGATGCTGAGTGGAGGCAGTGGCTGTAGCCTCTGGAATTCTTTTGGGGTTAAAGTTGGCAGTTTCGTGCTTCTCACCCAGGAGCCATAAATTAACCTGAGCAGTTTGGCACTGGCAGATTTGCTCCAGGGGTTTTAACTCTTTGTCCTCCGGGTCCTACACCAGCATGCTGCAATGTTAATACTGGATATTGTGCTCCCGTGTCTATTAATATTTTTTATTAATTGTTGACAAGAACCAGCAGGAATGTGAATGTCCAGGCCATTATTCTGGCTGCATGGATAAGATTCCACTTGCTGGATGTGTGGCTATTTAGGAAATTTCCCTGCCTGCCCATCCAGGAGCCACTGTGGAGTCTCAGCTGAGATTACCTGAGCTGGGTCCCTGTTTGATCCCACACCACACTCACAGGTTTCCTCACAGGCTCCATCCCAGATCTCCCATTGCAGAACCTCGCCTGGATCCTTGCAATAATTTAACCTTGATACAACCACCTCGAGGTTGTGCCTCCATGCAGGGACCCCGAACAAAGGAATTCCACCCCCTCTCCGGGCTTTTGTCACCTCACAGCCTAAACCAGAAAATGTGGGATGATCGGCTCCCGCTGTGTCCCTGAGTGTCCCTCACTGCGCCTTTGTCATGGAAAGCTCGGGCAGTTCCCGGCCCCAGGCTCCGGATATTTTCCCTCCTCAGCGCCCGGGATGCTCTTGCAAATCAACCTGGCTGGGATCGAAGGGGATCGCTTTTCATGAAACGTTTCCCCAGCTCCGGGAGGAGGTAAGGAATGACCTTTGCCCGGTTCTCGGGATCACCCCGAGTTCCCACCCCGCTCTTCAGGGGACACAAGCGGTTTGCTGCCCTGCACTTGCAGCAGCCAAGGCTCCAAGGAGTTAAGGCTGTGCCCCAAACACCGATAAGGAGCGGGATGGAACAGGATGTGGTTGGGGAGGAGGGCACAGCACGTTGGCCAGCGCCCCTCCAACCCCCCCTGGGGACGGGCAGACACGACAAAGCCGGGACAAGGCCAGCGGGGCAGCGAGCAGGGACATCTGCAGAGCAGCACCGAGATCACCACGAGCCCTCAAAGCCCCCCGACCCAATTCCAGAAAGGTCCAGCATCAGGATTGCGCACACTCCCTCATTTGCATGGCAAGTGGGAAACCTGATGCCGGGGCGGGGAGAATTTTCCCATAAGAAGGTGTCCCCACAGCACCCTCGGGACCCTGCACACCTGCACACCCGGATCGGCGCTGGAGCCAGGGCTGGTGATGTTCCCTGACCTCTCCCCTCTCCCCTCCTTCCTTTTTCATTTACTAACTCATGGCAATTTCCATGGCAAGTGTATAATTTACTAATCAAACTTCGTAGCTCTTTCGGGACCCTCTGTTTGTCGTTCCCTTTGGACCCCGGGCATCTCCACACCTGAGGAACTTCCCTCCCCTTGGAGCAGGACACGGCACTGCTCATTAAAAATCCTCCTTCCGAAACCTTCTGCTCGTGCTCGGGGTTTTTGTGTCGTGGCCTTGGAAGGACACGATTTATTCCTTTTACTGATAAGAGTCTGGATTTGTCACCTGTCACTTTGTCGGTGGGGAAAAAAATAGAGAAACAGAGTCAGGGAAGAGCCAGTTTGGGGTCAGAGCTCCTTTAACTCAAAGGAAACTTCCTTAAAGGAGCTTTTTAGCGTGCGTGTTTCTGCTTGAGTTTTGTCCGGATGTTTGATTCGTTGGCTGGAAATTTCAGGGGTTTTAATTAAAATTGTTAAGTGCCACGGGTCGTTCTGCAGCGGGAGGGGAAGGGAGCGGCGGGGCTGAAGCAGAGGAGGAACTGAGCGGCTGCCACCCCCCAAATCCCAGGTTTCGAGGCATCTTTCCATTGGGAAGATCCCGGTGGGCCCGGGATCGCACTGCGAGACGGCGAATCCCGCGTCCCACTGGTGCTCGGTGAGAAATCCCGGGACTCCTTCCCCATCCCGCGGCCGGTGCTCGGTGAGGAGTCCCGGGGCTCCTTCCCCGACCCGCGGCCGGTGCTCGGTGAGGAGTCCCGGGGCTCCGGTCCCGTCCCGCGGCCGGTGCTCGGTGGAGGCTCCGGCGGTTTCGGCCCCGCCGCCGTTGCCATGACAACGAGCGGACGCCGTCCCAATCTCCGCCTCCCTTCCCGTCTCATCCAATCAGCGCCCTGCTTTCCCCTCGCGCTGGCCAATGGGGATGAGCGTCCCTCCCGCCCTCTCCTCGTGGACGCCGCCGCGCGCCGGGGGCTGGGCGGGTCCGGCGGGCCAATGGCGTGAGGGAAATGGTCAGGGCTGGGTTCCGGTTGGCTGCTGCTGCGCGGCGCCGCCTGTGATTGGCTGCTGCTGCGCGGCGCCGCCTGTGATTGGCTGCTGCTGCGCGGCGCCGCCTGTGATTGGCTGCTGCTGCGCGGCGCGGCTGAGGGGGAGGAAGATGGCGGCGCAGCGTGGCGGCGAGCGGGGCCGCCGGGGCTCCCGGGGCGCGGAGCCGTGTCCGGCCTCGCCCTGCCCGCCACCCGCTTTGCCCCGCTGTGGGACGGCGAGGGAGGCACAGACTGCCGTGGCAGGGACACCTCCCACTGCCCCAGGCTGCTCCAGCCTGGCCTTGAGCACTGCCAAGGATCCAGGGGCAGCCACAGCTGCTCTGGGAATTCCATCCCAGCCAGGAATTCCCAATTCCCAATCTCCCATCCATCCCTGCCCTCTGGCAGTGGGAGCCATTCCCTGTGTCCTGTCCCTCCAGGCCTTGTCTCCAGTCCCTCTCCAGCTCTCCTGGAGCCCCTTCAGGCCCTGCCAGGGCTCTGAGCTCTCCCTGGAGCTTCTCCTCTCCAGGGGAACATTCCCAGCTCTCCAGCCTGGCTCCAGCCCTGCAGCAGCTCCGTGGCCCCTTCTGGACTGAGCCCAACGTGTCCCCGTTCTGGGGACCCCAAGGAGCTGCTGTGCCCCAGGCTCCCAGAAGCAGCACGGTGGAACGGGATGTGGTTGGAGAAAGGAGGAACGCGGAGGTGAGGCTGCACCTCCTGCTCCATGGAGATAAGGGCAGTGCAGGAGCGGGGCCGGGAAAGGGGCACAGAGTGGGGCCAGAGCCCCAAAGCCCCTTCACAGAAAGCTCTGGGAGAAGGGACCGTGCATCCTTAACCATTTACATGTGAAAGGAGAAACCTGATCCCAAGGCGGGGAAAATTTACCTGTGAGAACGTGCCCTCGGACCGGATTAGTGCTGGAGCCAGGACTGGAGATGTCCTTCCCTCTCCCTTCTGAGCTCCCCCTCTCTCTTCCCTCTTTTCTTTTGTTCTTTTATCTCTCTTATTACCAGAAGATAAGGGCAAAATTACCAATTTTTGGTGTTTAATTTAATAATCAGGCTCTGTGAGCTTTTTTTTGACCTTCTGATCCTTGTTTCTTTTTAACCCCGGGTGTCCTCACACCTTGGGATCTCCTCTCTTCGGAGCAGGATCCCTGGGTGGTTTATTCCCTTTTCCAGTGTTCCTGCCCAAAGATCTCCTCACTGACTGACACCCCTGGGACTCTCCTCTGATGTGATGGGAGAGCCCTTGGTATGTTAGGTTTCTTTTTCTCGGGCCAGGGCTTACAAACCCTCAAAAGGGAACCTAACAGACCCAAGGATAGCTCAGCTATTACTTTGGGGGCAAATAATGAGCAGGATGGCTTCTGCTGCAGTGTTACAAACAAAAAGGTTTAATAAAAGGCAAAATAACAAACAGAAAAACCCGAGCCAGGTACAGAGGTCTGCCCCTGGTATAAACACCTCACAAAAGCAGCTCAGTTCTTTTGTTCTCTTCTTTTTCTACCTGATGGGCCAGGTGGGACTTTTTGGCTTCTATCCAATTAGATGGCCTCGAGTTTTTAGTGAAGTCCTGTGAAATGGCTTTCACCTAATCGTTGAGAGAAACTTCAGAGCTTCTTTCCCTTTTTAAGGGACAAAGGCTAGCTTTGCCACTTTGTCATTTGGAGGCACACTCCTACATTGGTACACCCCAAACTTTCATTTTTTGGGAATTATTTGTCTCTCAGCCCCGTGCTGTGTGCCGGATCACCTTTGGAGCTCGAGATCCCTTGTGGATACGGAAATGAATTAAGCTCACTCTGTGTGCATACCACAGCGGTTAATTCAATGTAAATCTGCATATTCAGGGGGCATTGAGCTCATTTTAAAGCTTTTTTTCCTTCTCAGATGTTGATTTGAAGCAGCAGGGACAGACCTGGCTCCTCTCCCTGGGGAGCTCCTGTGGGAAGTTCAGTCCTGTGGCCACCTCAGCTCCTCCTCTCTGCCAAAAACCATGGGGTTTTCAGAGAAATGCAGGCCACTTTGGGACTGAGGTGGATTAAACTCCCTACACGTTGTCCCTGGTGTGTTTTTGGGGTTTCCCCCGCGGCGATGGGTTACTGCGCGGCCCTGAACTGCCGCAACGGCACCAGCGGGGCCTACAAGAACAGCTCGGTCAGCTTCTACAGCTTCCCCCTCCAAAACAAAGCCCTCCTGAGGCGCTGGATCCAAAACATGGGCCGGGACATGGAGACCCCCTCCAAGTACCAGTGCCTGTGCTCGGAGCACTTCGAGGAGAGCTCCTTCCAGAGGGAGCCGGTGAAAATCCGCAAGAGACGGCGCCTGCTGAAGGAAGCTGTTCCCAGCAAATTCATCCTGGCCCTGGATGGCACCTGGCTCGTGGGGACACCCCGGGGTGATGGTGACATGATGAGCAGCAAAACCCGAAAACGGATCCGGAATTCCGAGCCCTGTAGGGTAATTGAGGGGCCAGATAGTGGGAATAAATTAAATTAAAGGGAGATTTGTGTGTAAAGCCTTGGAAGCAGCTTGGGAAAATATCCCTTAGAGGGTTTAATTAATAATAATAATATTGTTATTCCCTAATAATAAGCTTTCATTGCCAGGGAGGAGCTTTTCCAGGCAGTCTGACAGATCGTGGCACTGCCTCAGGGTTTACTTAAAACACTGAATTATTTTATTTTTCATTGAAGGAAGAACCACATTCCCTGAGGGGGCTGGGTGTGGATGCTGACCACAGATATCTGCTTTTATGACTAATTTCTGACCCAGTTATTGGAGCAAATCATTGTTCTGGCTGAGTCACATTGCTTCAAAGCCTTTTCTCTCATTCTGGATTAACAGTAGAAGGTTCTTATGTAAAATCCTTCATTAATATGCTGCTTACACATAGCACAGACATCGCTGGGAGCAGCTGGGAGGTGCCCACGTGTTTAAACTGTTGGGATAAGAGGGTTTTCAGGGATTCTCAGCTACCCTGACTCTGGAGAATTTTGCTTTTTAGGTCCCTACGATGTTTCCTCGGTGGCCGCGTCTGCAGGATTGGCAGAATGAATTTTATAAGCAATTGCTGAAGGAGAAGTTTGGATCTTTGATCACACTGGGAAAAGGTTAGTTTTCCCTCTCCAAAGGGACACACGCTGGGTCTGGCCTGGCTCTTGTCACTCCTCTCATCCCTGGATTTTTAGGGAATTCATCTATAAGAGCTTGTGAATCTTTGTGAGAGACAAGAAGCTCCACATTTTTCCTTTAAAAGGTTAAAGGACAGTTTAAGATCCCAGGAAATGCAGTTGCCAATAAAAACAAGTAACAAGGAATGGAAAAGGTTTGGATACAGGAGCTGCAGTGACACACTGTTAATTTTTTTTTTTGTCTTGGTCAGGGTTGGGATTAAATGCACAGAGACAATATTTCATGTTTGAACTTAATATTTACTATTTCTTATCTATATTACAGTCTTACAAGTTGTGAGTTCTACAGTATTTCACCAACAAGTTATAAAATGGCCCCATATTTATCTCTACAAGGTCTTTTAAGGAAAAATTATCTAATTAAGAAATGACACTTAAATTATTTTTACTTTTAACCTAATAACCAATCACTCATGTCTTGTAATGTGAACTTTTTTGTCTAATTACACAATACTACCCAAACCCACGAAGAAGGCAAAGATGAAGGATTAGTTTTCACCCTAAAACATCTGTCATGTCTTGTAATGTGAACTTTTTTGTCTAATTACACAATGCTACCCAAACCCATGAAGAAGAAGGCAAAGAAGAAGGATTAGTTTTCACCCTAAAACTTCTATCTTATCTTTATATGTATCAGAATGTTCTAAACCCTTAAACTCTGAGTTTCCCACCCTGTGGTATCACCCACTTCTATTCAAACTCCACACCCACAATCCCAGTTCTGTCATTCCATTTTGGAAGCTTCTCCACGACCTCAGGTCAATGCAGTGTTCTCTTGGGGGTCAGTGCCTGGCAGCACAGAAAGTCTGGAATTCTCAGCAGCCAGGGTTCCAACAACACATGGGATCATTAATCCTGTGCCCTCATTAATTACAGTGAAGTTGTGTTTTCCTCATCCCCAGACCCTGATGTATGTCTGGGTTTGAGATTCACTGAAGACAATTGAACTATTTTGATGCAGAAGTAGTGAAATAACGTGAATGATGCCCAGAAAATTAAGAAGTCTATAATTAGCTTTAAATGCCCAACTATATGTTTGCTTGAAATCATTGATATTTTAAATCTGAACCTGTCAGCTCTCCCTGGCTCCTCAGCATTCAGGTAATTCCTTGGATTGATTCCTAGAAGAAGCTGCTGAAATTGGGAGCATTGCACAAGGAGGCATTAACTGAGAAAAAGACAGGACTGAACCATAAAATCCAGCACCAGGCAGCTGAATTTGGGGTTAAGGCTCAAATCTAAGACCTTCCACTTTTCAACATTCAATCTTCAACCTTCTAGGTGTAATTTCTGGAGTATTTTATAAAAGTTGGAGCACAAATCCTGTTCATCCCAGACACTCCTTTAGACACTGGGACAGCTGCTGCTTCTCCCTCCCCATCGGATCTTTTCCTGGAATAACAGAGATGCTCTTTACAGAGTGGATGATGCAGGGATTTGCTGGAAAACCATTTATAACCACCACTGCCATGTTCCTTCTGTTCCTTGTTCAGACTGGCCTGTTCCCAAAAGCCATATCCCAGAAGGAAGAGCAGCATGGGTCAAAGAACCACAGGATTTGGAGGAAAGGAAAATCTCTGTCAGCCTCAGCACAGGTGTGTGGTGTTGTGGGAATTCACTGGCAGCACTTTGAAATTGGTAGGATTGGAGGGATGGGGGGTTCCACCTCAGCTCTGTGGGGTTTTTTTTGGTTTTTTTTTTGTTTTGTTTTTTTGGGCTTTTTTTGTGGTGGTTTTTTTTTGGTGTTTTTTTTTTGTTTTGTTTTGTTTTGGTGGGGTTTTTTTCTTAGGGGTTTTGTCCAGAAGCAGCAAATTGGGAATTGTTGTTATTTTGAGGTTTTTCTGTCACATCAGATACAGGGAATGTTTAGAATCTCCTTGTTCCAGGCCATGGTGGTGCCATGACCCAGGGATCATCCTCAGGAGCATCCCAAGCCCTGCACAGCCACTGCTCTGACCTGGCAGAAACCTCGGGGAGCCGCCACAATCTGGCACCAAATCCGGCAAATCCCGTGAGAATCAGGAGCGGTAGCAGAGTCCTGGCAGGGCAGGAGCTGGATGAGTTCAGGCAGTTCCTGCTGTACCACCAGGGCCAGCCCGAGGACGCGGCGGTGCCGTGGTTCATCTGCAGCGAGTGCGGCAAGAGCTTTGCCCGCCACGCGTACCTGCTGCGGCACCAGCGCGCCCACGCCGGGCAGCTGGGCAGAAACCCGCCTGCTTCCTGGAGAAACCCGCCTGCTTCCTGGAAAAAAACCGCCTGATTCTGGAAAAAAACTGCCTGATTCCTGGAAAAAACCGCCTAATTCCTGAAAAAAACCCGCCTGCTTCCTGGAGAAACCCACCTGATTCTTGGAAAAACCCACCTGATTCCTGAAGAAACCATCCTGGTTCCTGGAGAAACCCGCCTGCTTCCTAGAGAAACTCACCAGCTTCCTGAAAAAAAACACCTGATTCCCAGAGAAACCCACCTGCTTCTTAGAGAAACTCACCTGCTTCCTGAAAAAACCACCTGATTCCTGAAGAAACCATCCTGGTTCCTGGAGAAACCCACCTGCTTCCTGGAAAAAACACCTGCTTCCTGAAGAAACTTGCCTTGTTCCTGGAGAAACCTACCTGCTTCCTAGAGAAACTAACCAGCTTCCTGAAAAAAACACCTGATTCCTGGAGAAACCTGCCTGGTTCCTGAAGAAACCCTCCTGCTTCCTAGAGAAACTCGCCTGCTTCCTGAAAAAACCACCTGATTCCTGGAAAAACCCACCTGCATACTGAAGCAACCGACCTGATTCCTGGAAAAATCCGCCTATTTCCTCCTGCTTCCTGGAGAAACCCACCTGAAACCCGCATGCTTCCTAGAGAAATTCGCCTTGTTCCCAGAAAAACCCATCTGATTCCTGGAAAAACCCGCCTGATTCCTGGAAAAACCCTCCTGGTTCCTGGAAAAACCCACGTGATTCCTGGAGAAACCCACCTTGTTCCTGGAAAAACCCACCTGATTCCTGGAAAAACCCACCTGGTTCCTGGAAAAACCCGCCTTGTTCCTGGAGAAACCAGCCTGCTTCCTGGAGAAACCCGCCTTCTTCCTGGAGAAACTCGCCTTCTTCCTGGAGAAACCCACCGTGTTCCTGGAGAAACCCTCCTTGTTCCTGGAGAAACTCACCTAGTTCCTGGAGAAGCTCACCTGATTCCTGGAGAAACTCGCCTTCTTCCTGGAGAAACCCTCCTTCTTCCTGGAGAATCTCGCCTAGTTCCTGGAGAAACCAGCCTTCTTCCTGGAAAAACCCTCCTGCTTCCTGAAAAAACCCACCTAGTTCCTGAAAAAACCAGCCTGCTTCCTGAAGAAACCCTCCTTCTTCCTGGAGAACCCCTCCTTCTTCCTGGAGAAACCCTCCTTCTTCCTGGAGAAACTCGCTCTCAGAGTCCATCTCCACATCGCCTGCGTGCCACATGCCTGCCGAGGGAAGAGCTTTGCAGTCAGCCGTCAAAAATCCTCTGTGGGTTGGATTCTGGGGATAAGGCAGTTTTCCCACTGTTCAAACTTCAGTTTGAAAGCTGACCAGCGGGAGATCCCGAGTCAGAGCTGCCAAAAAAAAAAAATCAGAATAAATTGCAGTGGTACAAAAGCACTGCCGGAGTCAGGATACGGCCTGGCACCCTGTGGGTCGGGGTGCTGGCAGCACTCTGGTGAAGTGGTGGCTCAGCCCTCCTGCAGTGACACGTGTGCTTCTGTTGGAGCAGAGATCCTGCAGAAGGGCGAAGTTTTCCTCTGAAAATCTCTTCCAGTGGTGTAGATGGGTCTGGTCTTCCTCTGGGAATGCCGTGGGCAAAGGCTGCTGTGGTGTTCCAGGGTCAGATTATATGCAGGTAGGAATGCTTGGCTCCTCCCCCTGGGCCGAGCATCTTCCAATGGGATGATGGAATTTTATCAGCTATGCAGGGACACTGTATGGCTCATTAACAGAAAATGCTCCCTGGAAGGAGAAGGGGTCCTGGAAGAGATAAGGAACACTGCCCCACTTGGTTTTAACACGTGGTGATAGAATGCATTTGGTTACATCTTGCATTGCAACCTAAGACAAGAATCCAGTTCTGATCCAATTTGCTGCTGCCCTAACCATCATTGATCAGGACCTGCATCATTCCTGTCGTTCTCACCCTGCTCCATCCAGCTCCTCCTTGGAGCAGGAGTAGGACAGAGAGCATTGTTTGTACCTAAAGGGGCATTAAAAAAACCCAACACATGCTGGAGAGCATCCAGAGTACCACAGAGAAACAGTGGAAGTTTCCAGGGATGAAAAATGAACAATTGGGAATGGGATTGTAAGCTGATGTTTGAAGCAACCAATTCCAAGCATTATTTCCCCACTTTAGCTGCTCTCCCATTACTGTACCTGCAGAACTAACTCGGTTTTTGGGTTCTATTTTTATATTGACCCCGTGTTTTCCTGTGGGGTGAGATGCTGCTTTGGTTTCTGAAATTCTGGGGGAAAAACTCCATGGGTATATTCTAAATGTGTGTACAGTGTGTTGGTGATGTTCCTCTGGGAAGTGGAAATGCAGCAGGGAGAAGGGTGGAGGAGACAGGAGGCAGCACATGCAGATTTTGTGTTTTCTCCCCACGTGCTGGTGGTTTTCAGCATTTTTGAATATTCCAGTTGCGTGCCAAGAGGAAAAATGTGTTGCCTCCGGTTGGAAGGGTGTCCTCAGTCAGAGACTCCAGCTGGAATGAAGTCTCCAGGCTCAGCAGCCCCTGAGGAGCAGCAGAGAGCACCCAGCTGGTGCTGTGCTGCACTTCCAGGAGCTCTGGGAAAATACACTTGGCCCCAAAGCGTCCTGCCCATCCCAGGTACAGCAATAATGTCCCAAAAAACATTTGGCATGGGCTTCTCATGGTTTCCTTCATAAGTGAAGTTCTGGGGTTGGCTTTGCTTTTATTCCTGATAGAATCCCAGAATGGTTTGGATGGGAAGGGATGTTAAAGATCATCCAGTGCCACCCCTGCCATGGCAGGGACACCTCCCACTGTCCCAGGTGATCCAAGCCCTGTCCAGCCTGGCCTGGGCACTGCCAGGGATCCAGGGGCAGCCACAGCTGCTCTGGGAATTCCATCCCAGCCCCTCCCCACCCTGCCAGGGAACAATTCCTTCCCAATCTCCCCTCCACCCCTGCCCTGTGGCAGTGGGAGCCATTCCCTGTGTCCTGTCCCTCCATGCCTTGTCCCCAGTCCCTCTCCAGTCTGGGCTGTGGTTTTACAGCCTGCACATCCTGCACTGCTCCTCAGAGGAGGGAATGTGTCCTGGACTGGGATACAGCTCCATTCCCACAGAGGGGGTGGTTCCCTGTCTCCTGAGCCCTGGATCCCGTGGGATGCTCCAGCTCCCCTCACTCCTGAGGGGGCAGAGCTGCTGTGTCACACCCAGCTCCAACTCCCCACTGCCACAAGGAGTGGGATCTCCAGCAGGTGCTGTCCTGGGGACCAAAGCCTCTGAACTGACATTCCCTGGGGAATATCACCTGTGTGGTAAAAGATATTTGGAAAATTTGGGGAATAAACCGAGTAAACCATGTCTGTGCTGGCAGCGGGTGAATTCATGGCTGAGATGAAGAAACCTCAGAGGCTGAGGGAGCTGGGAAGGGGCTGAGCCTGGAGAAAAGGGGGCTCAGGGGGGAGCTTGTGGCTCTGCACAGCTCCTGCCAGGAGGGGACAGCCGGGGGGGTCGGGCTCTGCTCCAGGGAACAGGGACAGGAAAATTGGAAACGGACTAATATTTAAATTGGATATTGGAGAAAACATCTTCATGAAAATGGCTCAGTCCTGGGGCCACGGGGCAGGGCCTGGGGTTTGGGGTGTCCCAGCTGGGGCACGCGGTGCCCGAGGGGACAGGGAGCGATGACATCCAGGAGGGAAATGGCTGCTCGGGCTCCCGTGATGCTGCTCAGCCCGTTAACCCTTCTTGTGCCACTGCGCTCCCTCCGGGCCCGGGGTCATCCCGCTGCTCCCTGTCCAGCCCAGGGGAGCTCCATCATGGCCCATCCGTGCGGATCCTGGAACACCGAGGGAGGCACTGGGGAGCTTTTCCCGGGATAATCCCAGGAAGGTGGGACTGTAACGCTTTTCTGTGGCCTGGCCCCAGCCCCACACTGTTAAAACGAAATGTTCCAGGGTCAGGGTGAGCACACGGGGTGGCTCCCAAACCCAGCATGTCCCCCCAGGAGGGTTTTCCGCCCAGGACGGGGGTCCTGCTGCGGGTGCCCGCGTCCTCTTCCCGCACGGCTCCTGGCCCTCGGTGCCACCCGAATCGGTGTTCCCTGCACCCAGGTCCCGTCCAGTGTCACCCACGCTCGTGTCAGCACCGGTGCTATGTCCTGCAGAGGCTGGTGCCGGTGGCAGAGCCGATACCAATTCCCAAGCGGTGCCAGTGCCGGTGTCGGTGGCAGCGGTGGAGCTGCCGGTGCCGGTACCCGCTGTCGCGGTGGAGCCACCGCCGGTGCCAGCGGACTGTGGCAGTGCCAGTCCCCGTGTGTGTGTGCCGTGCCAGCCCCGGTGGCGGCAGCGGGGCCGCTCCCGGCAGGCGCTGGCGGTACCGGGGCCGCGCCGGTGGCGGAGCCGCTCCCGGTGCCGGTAGGCGGCAGTGCTCGGCGCTCCGCGCTGCCGCCGCTCCCCGCCCGCTGCCGCCCAGCCCGGAGGAGGCGGATGCGATTCCCCGGCTGCCCGTGGCTGCTCGGCGGGGCGGCGGGGCCCGGCCCGTGCGCAGGCACCGACAGCGGCCCCGCTCCCGGGGGGCACCGGCACCGGGAACCGGCCGCAGGCGGAGCCGCCCCGCTGCCCGGCCCGGCCGGGACCCTCCGGCTGCCCCGGCCCGCGGGGCCCCGCCGCCTCCGGGGAACGGACCCGCGGTGGCCTCGGTGCCCCGGGACGGGGCTGAGCGCCCCTGCCCCGGGATGTCCGTGCTTGCGCCGGGCACCGCTGACCCGGCATGTCCACGTTCCCCCGGGGTGCCCCGGGCTGTCCCCAGGGACGCGACCCGCCACGGCCCCGGTGCTCCCGGGGTGCCCCGCTGACCCGGGATGCCCGTGTGTGCCCAGCGTGTCCTCAGACACCTCTGCCCCGGGATAGCCCCGTGCCCCCGGGATGCCCTGGGATGCCCCAGGGTGCCCTGGAATGCTCCGAGCAGGCTTCAGCCCAGGGATGCCCCAGGCAGCTCTGTCCTGGCATGTCCCTTTATGTCCCCAAGGTGTCCCTGGACACCCCTGGTCCACACCTGCCGTGCTTGCTCCCTGCCCACCCAGCCCCATCCTCCTCCTGGGTGGGCTCCAGCCCGGGCAGACCCAGGAATGGCTCCCAAGGGATTGGGGAGTGGGGTGACAAGTTGGGAGTGTGTCACCATGGTGACCTGCCTAGTTCTGGCAGGAGAGGGATGGACCCTGACCCCACTGCCACCCTGGACTGCCACTCACTGTCCCCTCAGGCCGGTGGGCATTGCCCACAGGAATCCCTGGCAGTTCTGGCGCTGCTGGTGCCAAAAGCCCTGGAAACGGGGAGCAGAGGCTGCGGGGGGTGACCGTGGGCCTGCTGCCACTCGTGCCCTCCCCAGGTGCAGGAGTGGAACATGGAGGCCCCTCACCTGATGCCGCTGCAGCCGCCGCTGCTGCCGGAGCGGGCGCACGTGCGGGAGGCGCAGCTCCACTCCGCGGAGGCCTCGCTCTGGACCGTGGTGGCCACGGTGCAGGCCATGGAGAGGAAGATCGACCTGCTGGCCACCCGCCTGCTCAGCCTGGAGGGCCGCTCCGGCACGGCCGAGAAGAAGCTGCTGGACTGCGAGAAGACGGCCATGGAATTTGGGAACCAGCTGGAGAGCAAGTGGGCCGTGCTGGGCACCCTCATCCAGGAGTACGGGCTGCTCCAGCGGCGCCTGGAGAACATGGAGAACCTGCTGAAGAACAGGAACTTCTGGGTGCTGCGGCTGCCCCCCGGCCCCCGGGGCGAGGTCCCCAAGGTAGAGTGTCCCCAGGGGCTGCAGGACAGCGGGGGGACCCTCGGGAGTGGGCATTGCTGAGCCAGGGCGTCTTGTCCCCACAGGTGCCGGTGACATTTGTTGACATCGCCGTCTACTTCTCAGCGGAGGAGTGGAAGAACCTGGAGGAGTGGCAGAAAGAGCTGTACAACAACCTGGTGAAGGAGAACTATGAGGCTTTGCTGTCCCTGGGTAAATGTCCCTTTTCCCCCTCTCCTGGCAGGATGGAGTGATGGCTGTGTCTCCTCAGTGGGTCCCCTGCCAGTGGTCAGCGGTGGCACTCTCTGTGTCCTGGGACCATTCCAGAGGGAATGCTCCGTGGCTCATACTGTGTGTGGGGACAGGGTGACACACCATGCCATGCCAGTGCTGCCCAGGGGGCTGGAGAGGTTCCTTGTCCCCCAGAACCCAGGACCTGAGTGTCCAAGCTGCCTCCAGCATGGAGGTGCTGTGGGATTTCTCCGCCAGGAGGGACACCAGGTCCTGGCAGCCTGGTGTGCCCCGAGCCTGGCTGACAGGGAGGGGGTGACAGGCACGGGGTGACGCCGCTCTGTGTCCCTGGCAGATGGGGCCCTCTCCAGAAGCGAGGCCCAGCCGCGCAGCGAGCGCGGGGACGGGCCCTGTGTCCCTGAGCCGCGGGAGCTGGAGCAGAGGGAGCTGCCACCAGACGCCTGCGCGGGTGAGGCACCGCGGGAGGACCTGTCCCCACTGTCCCCATTGTCCCCACCTCACGTTCCTCCACCCTCCTCACCCCAGGGACACCCTCCTCCCTCCCACACACTCCCATCCCCACTGGGCCCAGTTCTGCAGCTGTGCTGGGAGCTGCCCTGAGTGACCCCAGAAAATCCGTGACTGTTGTGCTGGAGATCTTGGATATCCATCACTGGGAGATCCGTGTGTCCCCTGCTGCCACCACGTTGTGTCAGGGCCCATGGGCTGTGTCACAGCCACCCAGCCCCATCAGCCGTGCCATTGTCACCTGTCCCCAATGGGCTCTGCCACAGTCATCTGTTCCCAGGGGTTGTGCCTGTCCCAAAAGCTGTCTCAGGGTTACCTGTCCCCACAGGCCATCTCAGGGTCTCCCATCACCAAGGGCTGTCCCACAGCCACCTGTCCCCACAGCTCCCTGGGGGTGTTGGACGTCCATCGCTGCTGTGGGATGGGGATGAGGCCGGAGTGCAGGGGTCACACACCCCGGCTGTGGTGGCCGTGGGTCACACGCGTGGCTCCATCCCGGCCCCGGCCAAGTCTCTCCTTGTGAACAGAGTCGCTGATCTCCACCTCCGACATCCTGTCCCGGATCAAGCAGGAGGTGGCGTTCGTAGGGGAGCAGCAGCAGTTCCCGGAGGAGCGGGGCATGCCGCCGGACCCCTGTGCCGGTGAGCCCGGCGCTGAGCCATTCCCTGCCGTGCCTCCCGGAGCAGGGTGTGGCCCCGCCTGGCTGAGTCCCTGTCCCCATCCCCGTCCCTGTCCCTCCCTGCAGGCGCGGACGCCCTGATCACCGCGCACGACTTCTTGTCGTGGATCAAGCAGGAGGAAGAGCCCTGTGTCCGGGAGCCCTGGGAGCTGCCCGAGAGGGAGATGCTGCCCCCGGGCCCTGGTCCTGGTGAGCGATCCCCACCGTGGGGCTGGGGCTGGGGGGAGCACCCCCGCGGGACGAGCCTGGGGACATCCACGGTGGGACTGACGGGTCTCTCTGTGCCCTGCAGCCAGCGAGGGGCTGCTGGTGAAGACGGAGGAGCGGTGCCCCCACGCCGAGCCCCCGGAGGAGGTGGGTTTGCCGGGCAGCTCCGGGGAGCTGCTCTTCCCCGGCACGGGCTTCGGGACCGCCGAGGGACAGGCGGCGGTGCCGGCGGCGGTGGCCCTGCCGGCGCAGCACAGACTGGGCAAAGCTGCGGGCCCCGAGCCGGGCCCGGGCGCCGATTCCGGGGCCGTCCCCGCGGCGCCGCCGGGCCCCGCCGAGGAGCGGCCGCACGGCTGCGCCGAGTGCGGGAAGAGCTTCAGCGGCAAGAAGAGCCTGCGGATCCACCAGCGCAGCCACGCGGCCGAGCGGCCCTACCCGTGCGCCGAGTGCGGCAAGAGCTTCAATTGCCACTCGGGGCTGGTGCGGCACCAGATGATCCACCGCGGCGAGCGGCCCTACAAGTGCTCCGAGTGCGGCAAGTGCTACAGCCGCAAGGAGCACCTGCAGAACCACCAGCGGCTGCACACCGGGGAGCGCCCCTTCGCCTGCGCCCAGTGCGGCAAGAGCTTCATCCGCAAGCAGAACCTGCTCAAGCACCAGCGCATCCACACCGGGGAGCGCCCGTACCAGTGCCCCGCCTGCGGCCGCAGCTTCCGCTACAAGGAGTCGCTCAAGGATCACCAGCGGGTGCACGGAGCCGAGCCGGGGCCGCCGCCGCTGCCGCCGCCCGGGATCCTGCCCCCCGGTGACTAGGGGGACGCCCCGCCGCGGACTGCCACCCCCCGGCACCGGGACAGCCCCCGGCCCGCCGAACCGAGGTGCCCGGCCGGGGCGGGGGGCGGGCGGGGAGCCCCGAGGAGGGGGACGAGCCCCCGGGTCCCCCGCCACGGACGGACGCTTCACCCCCAGCGCTCCCCCCACGGGCGATGTCGCCGCACGGGGTGGGGGGCAGCCCCCCGCCGTGTCCCCCGCGCCACCCCCGCCTGCCGCTCTGTCCCCTCGCCCCCGCTGCTTATTTTTACTGCCCCCCCCTCCACCCGCGCCGTCCCGCTGTACAGTGCTTGGGGTGTAGTTTTGTATGGACGAAATACGGAATAAAGTCGTGCTGGGCTGCAGAGCCTTCAGCACCCCCGCCGCGGGTCCCCCGTGCTCTGTGGCCCGTCCCCGGGGTGCCGCGCCCTGGGAAGGCAGCGGCAGCAGGGTGGGGAAGTGGGAATGGCGTGGTGGGACACAGGGTAGTGGGAGTGGGTTGTGGGTCCAGGGTGGCTCAGGAGGTCCCTGTGTCACCGGCTGTGGTGGGGCTGTGTGGAGACCCCCCCTCCTGTCACCGACCCACCCCTGGGTCCTTCCTGTCCCCTGTCCTTGCCACATCCCCAGGTCCCTCCTAGCCCTGATTTGGGGATAGGAGTTATTCCACACAATTCTTTCCCCACAGAATCCAGGGCCCTTCCTCAGGCATGCCAGGGTCCCCAAGCTGAGTGCCACCATCCTCCTGGGAGGCCACCACCAGAGCTGGGTGACGCTGCAAATGCCACAGCTCCCACTGCCCCACTGTCCCCTCCCTGGGGGCTGCACCCACCAGCACGTGGCAGTCAAGGGGCCCTGGATGCTGGGGGCTGGAAGAGGGGACAGCACAGGGGACACAGCACAGGGCTCAGCAGTGCTGTCACCCTGGCGTGGGCTGGAGGTGGAGGGGAGAGACAGTGCTGGGGTGCCCTGGGGACACTGCACATGCTGTGGGGACACTACACCTGCCATGGGGACCTCGGGCATTGTGGGGCTGTGTGGAGAACTGCTGGGGACCCCAAGCACTGCTGGGGACACTGCACCTTGCCTGGGGACCCTGAATGCTGCTGGGGACCTTGGAAACTTGCTGGGAGTCCTGCACACACTCTGGGAACACTGCATAATGCTTGGGGACCCTGCACACTCCCTGGGGACACTGCTGGGGAACTTGGACGCTCCCTGGGGACCCTGCACGCTGCCCAAGGGGCCTTGCATGATGCCAGGGACCCTCCACACTCCCTGGGGACACTGGACACTGCTGGGAACCTTGGACACTCCCTCGGGACACTGCACATTCCTGGAACCTGTCAGGCTGCCTGGGCCCTGCACACTCCTGGGGACTCTGAACTTGCTGGGGACACTTCACACTGTTTGGGGACCCCAGACACTCCTGGGCAGGGGACCCTCCACGTTCCCCCCATGATGTGCATGCCCTCACCCCTCTCCAGATCTGCAGAGCTGCAGGTTCCAAGTCTGCACAGCAGAGCTCCTGTTCCCCAGCCCTGATCCCACTCTGCTGGGCTGCCCCAAAGGAACAGGGTGAAGCTCGTTTGTCCCATGGCCTTGTCCCCATCCAGGGCTGCAGAGCCATGGGACAAACGACCCCCCTGGCCCAGCTCCTGCCCCCACACAGAGATCACACACAAAACCATCATTTCTGGCTTTTTTTTGGAGGCGTTTTTTTTTTTTTTTTAAACAGAAGTTTTATGGTTATATGCAAATTAGGTCATTAAATGATTTGCATAAAATGTTCGCACCTCAGCGACTAAGTGTTTCTAACTCCCACCCCCCGACAGGTAGTAAATCCTACTGGACTAGCGCCGTCAGGCCGCGCTGTCACACGTGTCCCCCGCTGTCACACGTGTCCCCCGCGGGCACGGCGGCGTCCCCCCGGGGCGCTCCCGTGCCTCGGACCCGCGGGGACCCGCCCGGAGCGCTCCTGCGCCCGTCCTGTGTCCCTTCCCGCGGGGATCCACCGGGTGCCGCCCGCGTCACCGCACACCGTCCCGCCGGGGCGGCCGCGGGCACTCCGTGTCCGTGCGGAGCGGCTCCCGCCCGTCCCTAGCTGTTGGTGAGGAAGAGGCGTCTGTGTCGGGAAGCGGAGCCGCGCGGCCGCCCGCGGCGCCGGCCCCGGCCGCGGTTGCCGAAGGGGCTCCGG